ATTGTGTGACTAAAGATCAGAGACAAACCTGTGGGACTCAAATTAGCTTTCCTTGTTTCCAAGGTCTCTTGGATTAAGAGAAAAGAATGTCAGATGAAACTTGGCAAAAGTTGAATTCAGCAACTAAAGCTGATACATATAGTACATAGGACATCATGCTTGTAAAGGTGGAAGGTCAGGGACAGAGAGGCAGACCCTTCACAAGATGGATTGATGTAAGTGGCTGTAGCAATGAGCTCAACTAGATCAGAGATAAGGATGGTACAGGATAGGACAGGGCTCAAGATCCGTTGTTCATAGGGTTGCTGTGAGTCATAGTTGACAGCACATAAAAGTAACAGGTTATTTAAAATTTCATTTTAAAGAAAAAGAATGTCATTCACCAATTTTTCTTCTGTGTCTTGTTAAAAGAGGTCATACCTTGTTTTGTCAAAAACAATTCCACTCCCCTAAATAAACTATGTTATGATATAGGTGTTTAGGTGAATATAGAACTGGAGACTTTTGTTTCTACCATGTACAGGTTGTTGTTATGTGCCCTCGAGTCGCCTGCGACTCATAACGACCCTATGTACAACAGCCCTAAACTCTGCTCTGTCCTGTGCCAATCTCACCATCTCCTACACACTTGCCCCAAGTAGAAGGTGAGGGGCAAAAGATGTGAAGACCCTGAACAAGATGAATTGACTCAGTGAGTGCAATAATGCGCTCAGTGATGGTGAGCATGACAGATTTCCCAGCAGATTTCCTTATATTGTCCAGAGCATTGCCAAGTTTTGGAACTGATTTGATAACACAACAACACAACAATCCTTTTATAGATAGAAAATCCAAGGGATATGACTACTGAATGACATGAGAAGGGCTTCTGTGCCTTCAAGGCCTGTGTTCTTTATCTCAGCATTCTCAAGGCATGAAATTCTATTTACCTTTCCTGGTCCACATGAAATGTACAACCTTAAATATAAGCAACTCGCTGCTGGACATCACTATTTTTGATATTGTTATGTGCCAATGTAACATGTACAGCAGCCCTAAACCCTTCTCTATCCTGTGCCAATGTTACTGTCTCTGACACACCTACCCCATTATTCCCAGTCACCGAATCAATCCATCTCATCTAGGGTCATTAGTATGATTTTATAGTGGTGGTGGTGGTTGTTGACTCTTAGTGACCCTATGAACAATGGATCTAAATCTTGGTCTCTCTCATTTTGATAATGATAAGCTTGAGCCCTTTTTTATAGTCACCTAGTCACCATTTTGATCTATCTTGTTGAGGATCTTCCCTTCCTACTTTGACTTTTCCAAGCTTAATGCCTTTTATAGTGGACAAGTACTAAATTGGTATTCAGAAAATCCAGACTGTAGCTCTGCTTGTCAATCTTATGTCTTTTTTTTTTAAATCGGTCTTATTTATTTAGATGACTTTTTGTTTGTGGCATCCTCTGTTTTTTGCCTTGAAGCTCCTGGTGTTGAATAATCTTTGTTTCTGGATGAGTTTAAATGTCTAAGCTGAAAACTTTAAATCTGCTCTAGAGTGAGGTCCAGCTGGAATCTGACCTTCCTGTTTGTAAAGGATCCTGGAATTCCTGGAAACACATTTTGATAAGGAACTGGGACCTCCAGGATCCTTTTTTAACTGATCTGATTCTGTATTGGTGGGGTTTTTTAAAAATGTAATTGAGTGAAAGTTTTTTTAAATTATTTTTTATTATTCATTGGTTTCTTTCCCCCGGTTTGTTTGCAGTCCTTTGCAGATTTGTGGTAGATGGACTCTGAGTATCGAGATAATATGAATAACAGTGTCGCTGTGGTTTTTCTGCCACATAGCAGTTTCTCATTTTATCTGATCATATTCCTCCTGATGAGTAACTGATTCTTTACAGGCAGTCAACAAATATTTGTTGAACATTGACTTTGTGCCCAACACTGCACTAGGTCCCAGGGATACATCAGCAGATAAAGGAGGGCGAAGGTCCCTGACCTGATGGAGCTGACATCCTAGAAACATGTTCTGCTGATTTGTAAATGACCAGGATATTATGAAGTGAGGTTCTGTCAGGTGTCATATATTGGTGATCTGTTTGCCCTTTCGTTTTCATCATGTTTGTCATTTCTCAGAAGAGGAGCATGTGTGTTGGGGGCAACAACTCTGTTTTCATGTTACTTTCTTTTTTCTTAGTCTACATTGAGTGGGTAATTTTCACCCATAGACATGGAAACATTTTCACAATCAATTGGAAGTGAGTGTACTGTAGTGCAGTTACAGTGATTTGGTAAGGGAATTAGAATTAAAATATGAATTCTAACTATGAAAGAGTAAATACTTTGGTACCCAAGTGTGAGTACTACCAAAGTGTGAAAACATGTTACTTAATTTTAAAAAATGTTTTAGCAGTAGTAAAATTATGGAGGATTGTATGGAGGATTCATTAGCTTTGATTCACTTGTCTTGAGATTTTTCTTTACAAATATGTCACAGAGAGTCCTCCCCTGAATGAGTTTTTTTCCATACTGCTAATAATGTTCTTATGAAAAGCTAAGGAGAAGCCCTGGTGGCTTAGTGTATAATGTGTCAGGCTACTATGAGGTCAGTGGTTCGAATCCACCATGGTCTCTTGTACACGTTTACAACCTTGGGAACCTGATGGTCACTATGAGTCAGAATCACCTCGGTGGCAAAGTGTTTGTGTTTAATGAATGCTAGAAGCTTTGCCAAAATGTATATCTATGTGTATATATAGTAGAGGAAACAGCCAGGAAACAAAAGAGGAAACAAAAAAAAGTAAACATCTTTTTTTGTGTGTGTGTGAGTGTACCGTCAAATCAGATCTGACTGGTACAGGAGGAGATTGTCCCTCCTTTTCCCGGCAGAGCATCTGGTGGATTCGAACCGTGAGCCACTGGGATTGTAGTTGCACCTCCTTGCCACTAGGCCACGAGAGCTCCCCTAAGTAAACCTCTTAATAATAACCAAACACCATGAGAGAATGAGTTGATAGTCTTAGATCCTCAGAACTGTACTCTCAGAGGACAGACATGAAAGTCAATTGGCATATGATATCCAGGGGTATTAAAAGCTTGTCAGCAGCCATCTAAGGTGCAACTAATTGGCCTCTCCTTGTGAGGAACAAAGAAGAGTGAAGAAAAGGACATACAGTAACAATCCAGAGGGCTTAAGTTGTTATGTGGCCTTGTAACTTACCAGTGAGTTTTCAGAGACTGTAAATCACACAGCAAGAAATTTCCCATCTTTTTCCCCACAGTGCAGCTAGTGAGCCATGTGCCTCTGGGTCAGCCAGTGTAGTTCCTTGCCACAAGGCCACCAGAGCTCAAAGAACTAATGGACCGCAAGAATTTCAACCTCATTAATATCACATGTAAGCAAGATTCTGCTGAAAAGGATCCAAAAATTATTGTACAGCACATCAACAAAGAACTGCCGGATGTGCAGGCTGGGTGTAGAAGAGGCCGTGGTACTAGGGATATTACAGATAATGTTAGATGGATCTTGACTGAAGCAGAGCGGAATGTCTATTTGTGTTTCATTGACTATGCAAAGGCATTTGACTGTGAATCACAACAAACTGGCTGACTCTGAGGAGAATGGGTATCCCGGAACACTTGATCACACTTGATCACACTTAGGAGAAACCAGGAGGCAGTCATCAGAACACAGCAAGGACATACTGCATGGTTCAAAATTGGGAAAGGTGTATGCCAAGGATGTGTCCTGTCTCCATACCTTTCAATGTATATACAGAACAGAACAGATAATCTGGGAGATGGGGCTCCATGAGGATCAGTGTGGCATCAGGATTGGAAGACTCATCAACAATCTGTTATTCAGATGACACAACCCTGCTTGCTTAAACTGAAGAGGACCTGAAGTGCTTTCTGCAGAAGGTCAAGGACTGTAGCCTTCAATATGGATTGAAGCTCAACATCAAGAAAACAAAGATTCTCACCTGAGATTGTTGACAGCTTCAGTTTGCTTGGCTCCACAATCAGTATTCCTGGTACCAGCAGCCAGAAAATCAAGACACGAATTGCATTGGGAGTCAGCTGTCAGGAACCTTTCCAGAATACTGAAGAGTAGTGACGTCAGTCTGGAGACTAAGGTGCATAGTCTTTGCAGTTACTGGGTATGCTTCAGAGAGCTGGACAGTGACTAGGGATGATAGAAGAATTGATGCCTTTGAGCTGTGGTGCTGGAAAAGAGTATTGGATATACCAGGGACTGTTAGGAGAACAAACAGGTTCATCCTAAAGAGGATGAAACCACCTTGGAGGCAAGGATTCTGAAGCTTTATAAAGGATAGTCTGACATACTTAGTGGGCATGTTACAAGGAGGGACCAGTCCTTGGAGAGGGACATTGTGCTTGGGAGGGACAGTGCAGGAGGCGAAAACCCTCAATGAGACGGATTGGCACAGTGACTGTCGTAATGTGGGTAGGTGTGTCAGAGATGGTAAGGTTGGCTCACCGTATAGCAGTATTCAGAGCTGTTGTACATAGGGTCGCTATGAGTCGCAGGTGACTTGATAGCACATAACAGCAGTAACACCCGTATGAGTCCAGGAGAACTGGCTGATGTCCAGCTATCAGTGCTGACTGCTCTAAAAGGGATCATAGTAGTGGTGCCTCTCTAATTTGAATCTACCAGTGGCTCTAAGGGAAGAAGGTAGGCAGTATCATCCATGCAGTTTACAGCCTCAGAAACCCAATGGAGAGTCAGCTATGAGTTAGCTGGTCCTGACTCTATAGCAAAGGGGGCGGGGAATAAGGAATTGCTTCCTCACTAGGTTGCTTATATAGATGGTTTCCTATGACTCCCCCAACCCGCATAACTTTCATGATTCTCTCAGAAGAGAAAGTATAACAACTTCTTTGGCATCCCATCTGGTTGGATTTTTCTACCAATGAATAAGAATTAACTTAAAACCTTGCTAATATCTACATGCATTTTAACCCTAATATCACGATGTATTTTTCAGGTTTTCAATTCAAAAACAGCTGAACTACTTAGTCATCATCAAGTGGAAATAAAACAAAAGTTCCCAAAAGAAGGGTATGTTTCTTATTTTAATATGTAAAGACATTCAGATTAATAGTTCTTCTCAGCCCACCTGCCTTGTGGATTTGTAATGTAAACTTGACAAAACATTCTCCTGAGGAAGTTTGAAGCATAGCTATCATTAGCCAAGAAAAGCAGTAACTTTGAACTCAGTGTAAACATATAAGTGAGTGGTGGTTTAGAAATTTAGTGACAAAAAAAGAGGGTGTAAAGAATAATTGAAATTTAGTGTAAAGAACTAATCCCTTCATTTATTGGACTTGAAAATGGGATTTCAAATTAGGTAGAACATTTGATTTATTATTTGTAACCTGCTATTAATGTCCTCCTGTGAGCAAGTATAGAGTGAAGAATGATATAAATGTAAGAGGAAAAGCCTTTTCTTCACTTTAATAGCTTTAAAAGGTTGGATATGTGTTGCTTAAGTCAGACTTTATGAACCTAAAGAAGTTAGGTTTTTTTTTGTGGCTGAAATATTTCATCTTTTTGTGGCTGAAATATTTCACACAGCATAATGTCCTCCAGGGTCACCCATGTTGTATAATGTTTTACAAGTGCTGCATAGTATTCCATACTAGAGTTTTTCTATTCATTAGTTTGTTGATAGGTACTTGGGTTGCCTTCATCTCTTCGCATACATTTGTTTGGGTGGTGGCTCTGGTTTCTTTAGGGCTGCATAACACCACTGTTATAAAGCAGGACTGACATGGAGGGTTGGGGGGAAACTAGGAAAAGAGTAGATAGATGCAATGGAACACTGCAATGGAAGAGATGAAAGAATTGTTTAAAAGGAATATATGATTAGGCATTATATATGACAACAGTCCAGAAGAGGTGCATTGCATAGTGGACTGCAGTAGGGGAAAGGGAAGAAGAGGGAGAAAATTGTGCAACAGTGAATGAATATTTTTTAAAAGAATGTGAAATGGGGGAAGAGGGAAGGAAGAAAATGTACCAAAATGAATGAATGAAAACTTTTTGGTAAACTTTTGTTAAAATCAGTTATCTTAAAATGAATTTTTAGTATTTTCTATGATTCAGTTAATCTCTTTGAATATCATTTCATGTTATAGGCATCAGTGTTGGGAAGTGCACCTGTTGCTGTTTAATATCCCCTTAAACTTTCATTGCTCATAGATTTTCAACTCAATTTGAACTTCTAGAGGTATAAATTATGTTTGTATTACTTTCTTGTAACTAATCAGATATGTTCTTTTCTTTAAAGATGGGTGGAGCAAGACCCTAAGGAAATTCTGCAGTCTGTCTATGAGTGCATAGAGAAAACGTGTGAGAAACTTCACGAGCTCAATATTGATATTTCCAACATAAAAGGTATTTTTAATAGAATACTTTTCTCATATCACATGCTCTCAAAGTTATAATAACTAAAATAAATGCTATGTTTTCATTTAGTTCTTCATTAAGTCAACATAATAGTGTGCCTATGCAATGTCAAGTATTTCTGTGAGTAAGGGTATAAACAGTCAGATTAAGACACTATTTTTAAGTTTGTAGTTTGATGGGATAATATGAACAATAAGAGCAGAGAAGCTAATTTCAGATATTATAAGTACCGCGCAGGTGTTTAAAAACTCCAGAAAACTGAGGGTTATGGTAGAGTGTACTTTGAAGGGTAGCCAGTGAAGCCTTCTCTGAGGAGGTGACACTAAGATCTGAAAGGGCAAAAAAGGGCCAATCCCAAAATAAAACCCATTGCCATTGAGTCAATTCAGACCCATAGTCTCATAGAACAGAGTAGAACTGCTGTATAGAGTTTCCAAGGCTGCAGTCTTTATGGAACAAGACTGCTACATTATATTCCAGTGGAACAGCTAGTGGGTTTGAATCACCAACCTTGCAATTAGCAGTCAGGTACTTAACTAGTATGCTACCAGGGTTCCTTCAAAAGGGGTCAGGTATGTTGTCTGTCTGGAAGTGTTTGAAGAAAAGGAAGTGGCCTGTAGATGGTTCCAAGATGGTCATAAGTTTAGCATATTCTTGAGTGAGAATGAAGGTCAGCATTCAAAAAGCAGAGTAAAAGGAAGTTGAGGGGTGGTAAGTGGGTGGGTGAGGGAATCTTAGCAGGAACTGGACTCTTGGAATAAGGAAATGGATAGGAATTAACTATAGTTTGGAGTTTAGATGTTATTGTTAGCTTCACAGGAATCTTCATGAGTTTTTAAGCAAGCGATCAGGAGTAACATGACCTGACTTGCAGTTTAAAGACCTCTTCCTGGCGGCTATGTAAAGAGTAACTAAAAAGGTATAAGTGTGGCTGCAGGAAGACCAGTGAGAAAGCTTCAGAGGGTATGGTGGCCTGCTACCATCAGGAGATGTGGAGAAAAGAAAGGGCCAGGACTTCCTAATGGATTGAATGTCAGGGTAGTGGAGACAGTAGGGGAAGGAAGAGATGAATCAAAATGATGCTTGATTTCTGTTTCATTTTGTCTTTGGAGCGTCTGGTTAATTGAAACCTTTTAAGGAGGAAAAAAAATAAGGAACAGCTTAGGGTTAGGGGTTCTTAGAACTCAAAACACATCACTTGTATAATCTTTCTCAAATAATTGTATCAGTGTTAGGTTATTACACCTCTCCGATAAATCCCTAGTAGTTTTAATAGAATATTTACCTAAGCTCAGCTTTGTCACTCATGTACAAAATTGTAAAAAATCCAGACACCTGAGATTGATAAAAAAGTATGAAGGATGAAAGCATAATGTGGTGTTTACTATCTCCATAAGTTTTTCAAATTTCTCATTCAAGGGATTATTTGTGTCCTCATTGGGCATTTTGACTGTAGGTAAGGGGAACTATCTGTTGATGATGGCAGTGGCTTGATTTTTGCTATCTTGGCTCTGTGACAGACAGTTTTTTTTTTTTCAGACTTTGCCCCTTTTGTATAAATAAGACATACAACCAATCTGTTCCTTCAACAAACCCGTAGAGTGCCTACTCTGAGCTAGGTATATCAGGGACATGATGAAGCAAAAACAGACTAATAATTAAGTAGGGGAAACAGCTAATTAAGTAGGGGAAAGGTGTTAATCACAAATATAGTAGTAAAAAGCTGTGCTGCAGTCACAAAGGCTTATGGCTCGAACCTGTCTCCTCCTATACAATTTATAGGCTCTGAAAACCCTCGGAAGGCTCAGCAATGAGTTGAGCGTTCTGTGGCAGAACAGCACAATGCTAGCTAGAAACTAATAGTCTGTTTGTTGCACCTCCCCCTTGGCTTAGAGAGTGGGCACTTCTCCTTGCAACTTAATTTAAGGTTTTATGAAATAGGAAGAATCACATTAACAAATAGATGTTTTCATTCATCCTTTCTCATGCAGGAGAAGCAAAGTGTAACGTAGTCTCAACTGTTGATTCTTTTGGATTCTGAGCTATCTAAAACATCTCCCCCTCTAATCCATCAGCATCTTCCTTCTTCAAGTCCATCACCTCTTAGTATCACCTTCTCAGAGTGCACCTCATTTTCCATAATAACTTCCCAACACTGAACACCTATCAGTTGGAATTGTTGCTTTGATCTCTTCTAGACACTTGTATTGAGTTGATTCTTTTTTTTAAAAAGCTTCTTATTTCTTCTAACCTGATACTTTCAGTAGTCATGGAGTCTTCTCTGGGAATCTTGTTTTGCTGTGTGTTTTTTCCAAAAGGTGTTCAAATGATTTTTATCTGATTTTGTATTTATTTGGTTTTTAAAAAATTTATAATGCTACTAGCCAAAGACAATTGTTAACACCTTTGAAACATTTCCAAAATCTTCCCCCTCCAAACGTATTTTTTAAATGCAATCTATAACTTTTCACAATTATAAAAACACCTCTAAGGGGGGGCATATCTAGAGAGAGTATGAACTTACTAGATATGAGTAATAGTTCATAATATGGAGCCTTGATGTTGTGGTACCTTACCTATTGGGCTGCCAACTGAAAGTTCACCAGTTCAAGTTCACCTCTTGCTTTGAGGTAGAAAGATGAGGTATTTCCTTCATAAATTATTGCCTTGGGAACCCAGTGGATGGTCACCATGAGTTGGAATTGACTTGAGGAAAGTGGGTGTGGGGTTCTAAAAGACTTTAAGCCCCCAAAATGTTTATACATCTAGCTTTCACATTCTTCTAAATGGTGAGAACTAGGGTGGAGAATTACAAAACCTGAATGTGTTTTTCTAAAGAGAACAATTAGGAACTAATTAGGCTCAGGAACTCTTAATGCACAGGTGCTGAGATTAGCAGTCAGCAAAGTTTTCTTTTATAAAAAACGTAGAAGAAGGTAGAAAAATGACAAGAATTTAGACCGTTGAAAAGGTTCAGAGGCATTAATTAAGACCTGTATGCTTGGGGAGAAACGGATAATAAAAATGTGCTTGGAGCTAGGAAAAAAAAATCTAGAAAAGCTGTTTTACCGGGCTTTTTTTGCATTTACAGCCATTTTACTTGGATTGAGGCAAAACAGCCAAGGTAGAGGGGAAAGAAAAAGTGGGAGAAGGAGTTGTCTTCAGTGACAGAAGAATCAAGAATAACTCTGAATAATTCTGAATACATTTAGGCTAAAAGGGAACATAAGGGAGAGATGGAATCGTGCTTCAGGGATTATGGCTAAGAGAAATCAGTTTGTTTCTGGAAAAGCTAACATTGGAGAGAGTAGACTTAGGTTAACATATCAGTGAATTAATTGTAATGAATTCACTTCATTGTAAGTTTGGCCATAACATATTCCATCCACTCAAAAGCAATCCCAGTCTTGGCTCTCTATGTTATACATGTTTCCGAGATCCCACTGAGGTCTCTGGCCTCTGTTGTGTTCTCGGTCAGTCTGGAGGAACTTTTCATGCATCCTTCTCAGCTCATTAGCATTCTCTACAAATGTAATTCCACTCTCTCTGCAATAATGACGACAGTGGCAGCAAGTAGGTAACATTGAATTATTAGCATGTGCCAAACAGTACTTTTTCCCCCCTAAACACTTTTAATATTTAGCTCAGGAATTTTTTACTCTAATACTGTAAGATTATTATTATGTTCATGTTACAGAAGGCAAAACCTAGACTCAGGCCATGCTGGTAGAAAGGAAAGGAATTTTAATCCAGCAGTATGGCTTTGACAGAGGAGCTTGGTAGAGCCCCAAGCTCTCTATCCTACCATTTGGCTCAAACTAAAGCCACTGCCACCGACTTGACTCTGACTCATGATTACTCTCCAGTGGGTAAGAGTGACAAAAGACATACAATTGCATGCTTATTCAAGAAACAGGGAGCACTGGTGGCCAGGTGGCAAGTAGCTATGCTGCAATCCTGAAGGTATGCGATTTGAGGGCACCAGCTGCTTGTTGGGAGAAGGATGGGCAGTCTCTTCCTGTGTGATTAACTGCCTCTGAGAACCCCCTGGAGGCTCAGCTATGGGTCGGTTCCAGCCCTGTGGTACACAACGACAACAACATTTGAGAAATGGTGAGGGACGTTAACCCATTGTATATGTAGGTGAGACAGCTGAAGGAAATGGGATTTCCTGTTAGGTGTAGACAGAATAAGACAAGACTTAAAAGATGGAAAGAAGGATTGTTTATTCTGTATATCTCTTAAAATATAGCTAAGATCTACAAAGTTCAGAGAAAATGTGGAGGTTTTTGTGTGCGCTTTTGTTTTCAAACAGCACAGCAGTCTGAGTTTTCTCTGCCTTGAAAGAGGTAGTATCTTGTCACTTTGAATTCATTTTGAATGACATGACAGAACAGTCTAGAGACTTGATCCTGAGATGTGTTTGTTGAAGTTCTGGCACAAACTTGATTCTGTATTCCAGTGCATTCTATCTGGCCGGCACACAAGAATTAGCTGAGAAGTTTTGTTGTTGTTATGTGCCGTCGAGTTTGCGAGAAGTTTTAGAAATAAAATAAAGATGGTTGAATCTTACCTCAGGTCAGTTTGCCCCCGGTTGACTCTAGTATACAGTTTGAGGATTTCTGCTTTAGCTGAATTGAAGACGGATATAGATTTAGTAATTATATAACTATAGCACTTCTGTGTAGGTAAGTATGATACCATTGACATTACATATTTATATGTTTGTCTTAGGCATATTATTAACATAAGAAAAATGCTGAATTTCAAAAGCTGAATTAGCATGAATAAGGGATCTTACTGTGGTTATTTTCTTCAAATGCGTGCTTATTCTCACACTTACACACAGAGGTACAGATATCTCGGTAATGATTAGTAAGGAAATTTGTAATATATGTAATATGTATTTATTTATAAAAGAATATCACTAAATATTGAAAGAAAGAAAAACAGTATTGTAAATGTTACTATAACCCAGCCTAGGTCCACATGCTTGTGTGCTGGTGGAGTCTATAGAACCGGGAACACTTCACATTTTTCCTGGGCTGCATACCACCAGAACACTTCAGGTGTTCCAGATGGGTTTTATTTTTTTCAGTTTTTTATTATTAAATTTTATTAGTTTTAATGACCAGATGGGGTTTTGAATTATGTTTATTTATACCTGTGGAAAAAATTAGAACTGTTCTCTGATGTCATTTGCTACCTGCTTAATTTTTTTTCTTCCTCTCTGTTTAAATTTCTCTTTAAAGCCATTGGGGTTACCAATCAGAGGGAAACCACCGTGGTCTGGGACAAATTTACCGGAGAGCCTCTGTACAATGCTGTGGGTAAGCTATCGTTCATGTCTGTCAAATCCTTTCTCCATTAGGCTAAAATGTCCTGTTTAAAAAAAGCCATATGGTTATATTTCCTATGGTCTGATGTGATGGGCAGGCCAGTCCTCTACAAAATTAGTTGTGATATATTAATCATTTCCAGATCATAGATGTTCACATCGAATTAATTCTATGCTGCACTTTCCTTTTCTTCCTCACCATACAAATAGATGAATGTTTCTAGAATTGCTTTATAATCCCTGCTGTTTCTTACATCTGAAAGTGATCTCCCTCTCCCTTCCCACAAAAATCAGAATTATAAATATAAAAGTACTTGTTCTTCCTAGCTAGGACTATGAATTAGATTCTAGAGTGTGCAGTACAAAATGTTAGCTGTCTCTGCTACAAGTTTAGTTATCTCAGAAAGGGTTAAAAAACCCTCAGTCTCAAATTTACCTATTTTTGATAGCACATCTTATTAAATATAAATGAACATGGATACATTTTCACATCATTCTTAACATATGACAGTTGTTGAGCACGGGAATGACACGTGCTAAAGGGAAAATTGTGTTCTGAATCTCCAGTTGCTGAAAGCTTCATTGTGTCACAAATAGCAAACCACATTTTTTCCTCTGTAAAATATCAGGGTCTGGGGTGGGAAATGAAACTAGAAATTGTCAGATATGGGATGATTCATAGAGTGAGCTGTTTTTACTTTCTAGTTACTTTGGTTGCATTAGTTGTATCTTCAAATAGTCAAAGATAAACTAAAGGTCACATTCAAAAGTTGAATCTTTTTAAAGTTGTTAGATCATTATAATTATCATTAATAATCATTATAATAAAAAAATGATCAAACAGATCATTGTACTCTCCCAACCCTCTAGTTAAAAGAAAGGACTGTTCAAGCAAATCAAAAGTTCATGTTAAACGTTGAACTTCGAACTGTAAAAATGCAGCTTTGGACTTTGAATTGTCATTTTAAAGTAGTGTTACTAGGTTTATGAATTTATATTTAAAGTGAAGGGTTTAAGTAAATGTAGAAAAATGATCTTTCTGTGCTTTTTCATTAATTTCCTTTTCTTCTCCCTGTGTCCACTGCACTCTTCTTTCATTCTGTGCAATTGGGGTTTCTTTTCTTTCCTCATTGCTTTCTTCATTCTATGTTTTTTGAGTGGTAATTCATACTGCATTTATGGAATTTGAAAAAGCTTTTCTATACTGAACCCTGGCTATGTTTGGCAAATCTTTTACTGTGTTTGGTGTTATATTGGGTCTTAAGAAGGTTACAAATTTTATCAACTGTTTTTCTTAAATACTTAAATAATCTAGCTTTGGAAAGAGCTAAAATTGGGGAATAAAATTGGAATAGTTGATATATTGTGTTCTGCTAAAGTTTTAATTTGAGTTAATGAACAAAGAGGTGAGTGTGGACTTTGCATTTTTGGCATGCCTGTCAAAGGGGAGGTTTAACTTCCTTTGGACCTTGAAGAATGTAGCTAAATTTCATTAGGAAAAAAGGGGAGTTAAGGGATGATAGTGTGAACAAGCTGGGGGGGGGGAAATTAGTACACACATTTCACCAGCCAGTGAAGAAACTGATTGGACTCTAGCTTATTTCTTTTTAATTGAAATATAATTATTTCTTTTTAGTTGGAGTATAATGATAATGATGCTCAATAAGTGCTAACTTATTGTATAGTAAAGATTGTGTTAAACAGTTTATATACATTATTTAAGTGCAAAGATCCTGTGGAGCAGGCTTGGCTGTTCTTATTTTCTAAAGTATGAAAAGGTTATAGGATTTATCTAACATCATGTACCTAAGAAAAGATAAAGTCACAATTTGAACAAACCTTTTCAATCCCAAAGTTTGTGTTCTGATTTTGATAGAGGTTTATAAAGGGGTTTATAAAGGGGCTCTCAAATCCCTGCAAAATAGTGTAGACGTGACATCATATGCAGCTTGAGTCAAAATAAGTAATAAAACAGTAGCAAGAAAATTTCTAGCAATGTCACCATTTCAGACCCACCATTCTGCTGAAAACACCTAGGAAAGCTGTATACCACCAAAAAACCTGTTTCAAGGACTAGAAGGCTACCAACACAATAAGGAATCAGAGGATTAAGATTTAGGAGAGAAATACAGAGAAGTAGGCCTCGCAGTTGGTGTTGCTTATTATCACTTAGAGATCTGTAGATTCCAAAAGAAGTATCCAAGAAGCAAAACAGAACTTTGACAGGAGGGAGGCAAAAGGTAGAGTCAGAAACTGTGAAGAGTGAGATGGTATTAGTAAACATCCCGGACTTTTGATGGGAACCTTGAAGGACCAAATCCCAGAAGAAAGGTAAACCAACAAATCATTTAAAACCCTGATTGGATTAAGATTGTTGTTGTTGTTGTTGTACACAACATGGGTGACCCTTAAGGACATTAGTTTGGAATTTCTGATGACTAATTGCCAGCCCAAAGGCAGGCAATTCAAATCCACCATTCTGCAGGAGAAAGATGGGCAGTCTCCTCCCATGCAATTCACAGACTTTAGTCGCTCACCACTGTAATTGGCGGTGTGCATGACATGCCTTTTGTTATTGTTGTGTGCTGTTGAATCAAACCAACCCATAGCTGACTTTCCAGCGGGTTTTCAGAGACAGGAGGAGACTGCCCATCCTTGAAGTTTACCAATGTAGCGCAATGTAAACTTCATTCTGGTAGATTGAATATAAATATAAATGATTTTAATGTTTGTTGTCAGTTGCTATCCAGACTAATAATGGCAGAAGGAACTGATTAAGATCTTTGTTGTTGATTGCCTTGAGTCGAGCACGACTCATAGCGACCCTATGAACTATCGACATTTAGCAAAGTTTCTGGAGGCATGTTTAGGAAGAGGATGCTACTCCTGCTTATTAAGATCTTTAGTGTATTTTAAAAAGATCTCCCCCCTTTTTCCCTTTGCTTGTATTGAAACATTTTTCCAGAGGTGTTTTGATTCTGGCACTTTTTTTTCTGTCAGCTCAACTGACATGTTTTTTAAAATTTGTTTTGTTGTTGAGAATATGCACAGCAAAATGTACACACCAACTTAACACTTTATGCCTGTGCAATGCACTGAGATTACATCCCTTGAGTTGTACTGACATTCTTATCCTCACTTGCTGAAGGGTTCTTCCCCAGTAACTTGAATTCACTGTCCTATAAGGTTCCTATCTAAATCTTTTACATTTCTGTTGTCACTTTGTTCCCATATGGCTAATTTTTAAAGGAGCTCAATGATCAAGGCAGACCATTTCTACTAGTTAAGCTAAACTATAAAGATAACTGGTAGTATAGTTGCTCTGCTAACCAAGAAGTCAGCGAATTGAATCCACCAGCAGCTCTTTGGAAGACAGTTTATTCTTCCATTAGTATTTACCTCTTCAGAAACCTGATGGAGTCAGGACCTACCATGGAAATAAATTAAAAACAAACAAGTAAGCAAGAAAACACCATTCATTTCCATGGTAGGTTTTTAAAATTTTTATTTTATATTTGTTTACTTACATAGTTTGCATGCATTGGTTTTTAATCTATTTGAATTTAAGATGACTTAAAGGGTTACATTAGATTACCTTTAGGGCAATAGTGGCATGGGCTCATCCTCTATGGCTCTAGCAGATCTAGAGCTCATGAGGTTTGAAATTCAGGTTTTGATTTTCCCCCTTTTGATCACCATTCTTCTATAGTATCTTTGATCCAAGTATTCAGTTATGGTAGGTGGGTATCATCCAGTTCTCCTGCAGGGTACTTAAAACAGTGCCTTGCAGATTGTAAATGGTCAGTAAATGTTAAGCCATGAGCTAACATTCTGCCATTCTCAACGGACCAAATTAACCTTTCTAATCCAGGAATGCAGGATGATGTGGTTGATTTACACTATAGGTGTTTCATGAAACTCCTATATGTGGTCACACACTCATGTCAGCCACTCACATTTTGGCATTTATACTCCTATGAGCTGAAATTTTGGCATCTATGTGAGGAAGTAAGTTTAAATTATTCATCCTCACCCACCATTACCCTGTCTTTTCATATCCCCACCAGATCTTTCCCATTTTCTCCACTTCCTCCCTCCACCCACATATACAACCCTGTGGTTTTACCCCTACCCATCCTCGCCCCTCTGCTCCCACCCAATTCTCCCTTGGGTTCCCATACATGTTTTCCTAGTTATCCTTTTCTTTTTACAATAATGGTCTTATATAGTATTTGTCCTTGTGAGACTAAGTTAATTCACTCAGCATAGTGCTCTCCAATCTCTCCCAAGTTATATAGTATTTATTTAAAATCATTGTTCCTGGGTGCGGCATAATGAGAATATACCACAATTTCTCAATGCATTTGGTTTTGGTTGGACATTTGGGCTGTTTCCATGTTCTTGTGATGATGAATAATGCTGCTATGAACGTTAGTGTACAAATCTCCATTTGTGTCTAATTTCCTTGGGGTATATTCCTAGTAGTGGAATAGCTGGGCCATATGGAGTTTGTATGTTCAGCATTCTGAGGAAACACTAAACCGCTCTCCAGTGGCTGCACCATTTCACAGTTCTGCCAACAGTACATGAGAGTTCCCAACTCTCCACATCCTCTCCAACATTTATTGCTTGCTGCCTTGCTAAACTTTGCCACTGTTGAGGTGAAATGACACCTCTGTGGTTCCAATTTGCATCTCTACTACTGCCAGTGATCCCAAGCATCTCTCACGTGTCCTCCAGCCATCTGAATGTCCTCCTGGGAAAAGTCTCTCCATATCCCATGCTCATTCTGTAACTGGTTAGTCCTCCTCTCCTACAGGCCCAACAGTATTCCCTAAACTCCTGCCAGGAGAATCCTGTCTGAGATAGTATCTAACATTTCCCCCAGTTGGTGGGTTCCCCTTTCACCCCACTGGAAAGAGTCTTTGATACACACAGGGACCTAAATCTCTGGAGGGTCCTGTTCATCAACTCCATCCCCTCCAGATTGTGCATTTCTGGCTGTCTTTGTCAGCCTTCCAAGCCTGGTCCCAGTCTGTCTCTTAGGATTTTTTTTTTAAATTTTGGGCCTCACCCCTAGGTCGCCCTGAGTCGATTCCTGTGCATGGTGTGAGATGTGGACCCTGCCACATCTCATACATGTATTTTTAAAAACAAATTCATTTGATGATCTGGACCATTTAAATCAACTTACTTGGTCTAGAGAAGAGACATGTCTTCAAAAAGTAGATTGTACAGTACTAGACTCTCAAGTGTCTGTTTTCTTTGTTTCTAGTCATTTTGGAATGACGGTTCCCTGTTAGACATATAGTTTCTTTTCTGGTAGCCTTTGCTCCTGTCACCTTATCACAGAAATGCTCTCTTGGGGCTGTGTCTTCCCCAAGAAGTCTTTTTGTATCTTAGTGCAAATGTCCATGACAGAGATTGTGGCATGCGCATTAGCTCATAGCTATCCACTGGGAATGAGCTCCTCATAGTACATCACCCAGCAGTTCAGCACAGTGGTCTGATGAGCACTGAATAACCAACTGAGCCACTTGTCTGACTAGGACACACATATGTTGCCAGGTCAGGAAGACTCATCCTGAACAAGGTATTTATCTGGTCTTTATCCATATTGAAATATTACTGAGCTGGAGACCCGGCCTGGACTCTTTGTTCCCCTTCTGCTCCATGCCTCTTTCCTTTTCTTTTTCTGCACTCAAATGTATAAAACAGCCTTAGTTCATTCCATGCTGATGAACGTACCTAGTTCCTAAGTGGTGAGCAAGAGAAGGCAGACCTTGAATCTGGCCATCTCTAGCATGAAATGCCATTATTTCTTCTAATGCTCCAGCTGCTCCAGTTTCTCCTGGCCCTTCAGTTCCAGTTGCCGTTATTCCCTCTGGCTCTTCAGTTCCAGCTGCTGGTACTTCCTCAGGTATTGGTGCTCTGGCTATTTGCTCACTTCTTGGCCTTCCAACTCCAACATGTTGGGAAATTGCTGATGCTGGATCTGGAGCTGACACTTCTTTTGTCCTCAGAAATTACCTACACAAGCAGCTTAGTCCTCCCACTTGGGGTCTTCTCTTTGGCTTTTTGTCTCTTCTGCAAGTCTAATTCTGTCATCTTAGCACCTTTAATTGGTTTTCTAACTTTTTTCTTTAATTCAATTAATTTTGAGCATTTGCAAATTGCTTGGTAGTGTATCAACCACTGACATTTATCCCTTTGGCAGTTTTACTAATGTATTCCATGTTTCTAATTGTCTTCAAGATTCCAGTTATATAAACAAAGTAAATATTATGACTGCCTCTGTCATCACAGAATAATGGGAGAAGGTAGACATCTAATCCAGACAACCTTATATTCTTACAAGACAACCTTATAGGAAATCAAGACCAAGAAGGGTAAAATGACTTGCTTAAGTCACATTTCTTGTTGATGGCAGTGCCAGACACTCATAGAAGTTAGTCTCCTGCTTTCACATCCAATGCTCTGATTTTTTTGTGTATGAAAATTCTGTGGGTATCACTGTCAGCCATGGGGCCAAGCTTTCAAGTGAAGAGCTTCCTTACCTAAGTGGTTCTTGTCAAAGAGCAACTGGGACTTGGAGCCACCTTTTTGTTTTGTTTTTAAACACGTAAGTGGAACAAATCCGAGTATTCTAGAGAACATGCCTAGAAAAGAGTTCCCAGATGTTAGTATACTTCTGAATAACTTGGGAAACTTTAGAAAAGAGAGAAACTCAGCCCTACCTTGACCTACAGTTAAAATCCTGCAAGTTAGAGCCTGGGATAGATGGGTATAGTTTTCCAGGTGATTTGGATATGCTTCCTCGGACATCTGTTTAAAATGCGCAGAGTTAGGCCCTATTTCCACACCTTCTCGAGATGTGGTCCAATCTTTAACTTCCTAGTGGTCATTCTAGAAGCCCTGGTGACACATTGGTTAAATGATTAACTGCTCACTAACTAGTGGCTCTAATTAGCAGCAGCTCCACTGGGGAAAAAGACCGTAGGAGCAATACATATTGAAACCCTGTGGGGTAGATGTCTGTCCCGTTAGGTCACTGGAAGTTGGAATAGCCTCAACAAGAATTATATTCCTTAAAATATAGGAAAACATTCACCTAAAAGGCTTTACATCGTGAAACCAAAAAAAAAGTCTAGAGCTGTGCCCTTCAATTGTATTTGTTCACTACCCTCTGAAAGTAAAATATATCCAGCACACCCACATAACTAAACCAAAAGTTCCACAAGTCAATACTATGTGAACGCTATTTTCCCATTGTAATTCCTCCATTTTAATTTTTGAAACCGCTAATTGGAATGGACTAAATTGAATTCAAACCCCTGTAGTTTGAAACAGTGAAGATTGAGATGCTCATTGTGTATACCTACCACTACTGGAATTTCTGGCCTGTCAGGAAGATATGCTTTTGTCACAATCATACAATACTGCCACTGTAAAAGGGAACTGTCCTTATTCCCTGGATTTGGGAAATCGTACTAATTTCATGATGTCGCCAGTGCCTTGTATCAATCAAAACTCCACACCAACTCAAATCAGTATTTAAAAAAAGGAACTCCTTTTGGCCTGGAACCAGTGGTAATCCAAGGATAGTTCCATTTAGGTGCTGTTTGATTCTGTTCTCAAGCAATATCATCTGAATCCTCCTTAACTCTGCCTCTTCTGGGCTGGCTCCAGAGGTGGTGGGTTCAGCTCTGTCATGAGGGCAGCAAGCCCAAGCCTCACACTGCCAAGCTCAGCTGAGAATAGGGACTCATTTCATGAGCTCACATTTCATTTGGGCTAATTAGATCACATGCCCTCTCCTGCACCAATCACTGTGGCCAGGACTCCACAGTGGAACTGAGTCAAATCTCAGGCAAACGACATGACTGGAGTTGTGGGAGGGATGGTTTCCTAAAGTGAATTTGAGATACTCCACCCAGATACCAAGAGCATGGATGTCACTTCTCGGGCCCTCCTCTCTTTCGATGTGATAAGTCTTTCCTTACTGCTTTTCACACCTGTGGAAACCAATATATAGTGTCTTGACATTTTCAATTTAAATCTCATGAGAAGCTGCCACTGTCAAAAGCAACCACTGACAGCTCTCAAGGGGAATGACAAGTTAAGTAGAATTCACTACAGGAAAGTAACAGGTTGTTAAATGAAGATTAAGAAACACTGTATAGGTAGGAGTGATCCATAGTACAGTACCTTATATAATTTTCCGTAGAGCCATGACTCTTCTAAAATGTATCAAGTGACCGTGAACAGATTAAAAGTTACAAATAAACTTGAATCTGAAAATCAAAGCTCAGGCCATCCTAGTAAGTTACTTCTCACAAAGGTTTATATACTCTTTAATGCCTTTTCTTAAGGCTCTATCATGAGGCAAAACAAATACTTCCTACTCAAGAATCAGAATGTGCATAGTAGTCAATAAGGATAATATTAGTCTATTAAAATAGAGTCGTTTAGGAGTTTGATTTTTACGATCCAGTGACTTTTATGTAATAGTGACTTTTAAATGATTCTCTTTCAGCAATGCAAGAGTATTCTAGAGCATTTCATTTCATGAAAATCTGAATCTTCTCCCAATGATAATACCAGGTTCTCTACATTATTTTTATTTAAAAAAAAGATCCCAAGTTGTCTAACATAGACTCATATGTAATTTCTTGATCCAGAAGTATGCATTTTGCACTGGCTTGGGTTCTAGATTTTCTCCACATACATGCTTAGAAAATCCAAACTTAAAAGGTTTTTCTTCTGTAAGAAAGGTACAAAATAAGTGCCTTAAGGTTATATAATGTCTTAAGTTGGTCTGTAATTTTGCATCAGAGCTTTAAATTATCTCTCAAATTTATTCTTTATTCTAACACTATACCCATTCATTTCTAATTTTCTAATTTCTTTTGAAAGCTCTAGCATTGTAGTTGCTTATGGGAACTAATCATTTTCCTGTCCATGACAGTGATTTCATTAAATTCTGATCTTTTCATGTATCTTTTATTTTGGTTTGTAGTGTGGCTTGATCTAAGGACCCAGTCTACTGTTGAGACTCTCAGTAAAAGAATGCCAGGAAATAACTTTGTGAAGGTAAGAGAGCTCTTCAAATCTTAAGATTCTTAACTTATAGGTTGTATTAATACATCAAGACCTTTGATTTTTCGTATGAAAATAGGAAAGAAATAGTTAAGAAAGAAAAGAATTTTCATTTCTGTCACTAGATGATAAATAAGGAGAAATAGGAGTCAGGGAAGGTGGAAAATAGTTGCATTATTTATATCATAACTTTTTAGCCACTTTAGTCACTAAAGGTAAGTTGGTATTTAATATATTAACAAAAATAGAGAACCTTTATTCAATCCACCTTTTCTCTGTTCAGTGTGTTCACGAAATTTAGACAGATCTTCCTTATACAGATCAACTCTACAGTGCTTTCATCTGGAGTGTTTTTTGCATTCTGCCTCAATTTCTGCTCATTTGCTATCAATTATACTATATAGTTTTAATTATTTAAATGTATATGTGTGTATATATCTGTATATATTTATACACACATACTTATAGCTATTAAAATAACATTTTCTGGTTATGATCATTAGTTTACTATATCCTGATTTATATCACCTTTGTGCAGGGTTTGGGTCTGGATTCTATATGTAATACCAATTTATCACAAAAGCTAACATCTACAGTTTTATTACCTAGATTCCAGAGCACCACATCATTTAATTTTCTTGCTATGTGGATGAGCTTTGAACTGCTATGTGGATGATCTCTGGTCCTGCATTCCTGGGACAAGAGTATTTTTATTCCTCATACAGAGGGATTGCCTTTATGGCCACTGAACATTGGGTAATTTGAGCTTTTGGATTGATGGTTTTCTTAAGTTGTAATCAAATGTAAACATGCTAACTAATATGTTAAACATTCCAACTCAGATAATAATGTCATAATTGTTGTAGTCCAAGACAGGCCTTCCACTTAGCACTTACTTCAGTGCAGTGAAACTTCGTTGGATCCTTGACAATGTGAAAAACGTTCAAAAAGCTGTTGAAGAAAATAGAGCTCTTTTTGGGACAATTGATTCGTGGCTTATTTGGGTATGTTTAAAATATAATCTGATGTATGTATGGAGAATTTTCTCCATAACATTCTATTCTGTTTTGCCTACTATTTTCTACTGATCGTGGTTTGAATCCACCAGCTGTTCCTCTGTAGAAGGAGAAGCAATTGCCTCCTGTGCCAGTCAGATCTTTCACAACCATAAAAAAAAGAGCCTCCATTTGAGAGACCGCTGTATGGCAACTTGTACACCAGAGCTATACGGCCGAGAGGAATTTAGCATCTTTTGCTTAAGCTGAATGTGGATGAGTTGGAACTAGCACTTCAAGCATTGATGATCTGTGGAACTGTATTCTGTAGTTACTACTTTTATTTTATTTTGTTGTGTTTATTGTAGACATTTTGCATTCTGCCTCAATTTCTGCTCATTTGCTATCAATTATACTATATAGTTTTAATTATTTAAATGTATATGTGTGTATATATCTGTATATATTTATACACACATACTTATAGCTACTTATACCCCAAAGTTAGAGGGAATAGTGTAACGGATCTCCATCAGGGAGCCACTTGGAGTAATAGGTAACATATGCCAAGCCCATACTTTTGCTCTTCACACACAGATAATGTTTAAGCATAGGTCCACCATTTCTTTTCTGAATTCTTCAGTAAGTAGGTGATTATATTGTTAAATATTCAGGGGAGCTCCAGGGCAATTCTCATTTACTGGAACCACTTTGAGAAAAAACAGCAGTTCCTTCTCTAGTTTTCCTAGTGCTTGCTTGGTCGGAGCGGGCTGTGATTGTGATCATGGCCCCTTGCGTCATTTACAGCTGGGGTTGCCTGAGTAGCGCCAACATCTGCATCTAACCAGGCAGGATAAGACAGAGTGTGGGAACTATGAGCTTCAGGAGACTCAGGGGACTCGCTTTGGCTGTGTGCCACATGGTGCTATTTTGCTGCTTTTAATTTTATTTTTTTATTTCCAGTATTAAGTATTAAGTCTTATTTCCATAAAAAGGAAATCAGCAGTGCCTCCTGTTTAGGTACAAAAGGGTTAATGTTAGCGAGTTTTTTTTCTCATTTAAGAGATCTGCTTGAGTCATCAAAGTCAGTCTAGGGAGAATTTTTACTTCAAAAAAGCAATCAAATATCAAAAAACAAGCACACAAGAGCCTCAAGGCTGTTAATCCCATTTCTTTCACCATGCCATATTTACTATGAGTATGTTTTCCAAACATAAGAGGAGGAAACAAAACTGGGATATTTTTATTTTTTGGTTTGGTTTGGGTTTTTTCCGATTGACCTTTAAATTAACTAGAACTGTTCTATTTAATACACTATCCACTAGCCATGTGGAGTTTTGAACAGTGTGACTAGTTGTAACTATAAAAGAAAGCTATTATATAGTTATAATTACCAAATTCCAGAGGCTGAGTATAAAATAAATGGTCAATTTTTTAATATTGATTACTTGCTGAAGCAATAACATTTATATAAAATATATAGTATTATTAAAATTTTACTTTTCTTGTATCTTTATACTTTTTAAATGTCTCTCACATGCATACACACACACAGACACAAATACATAAACACTGCCTTGAGTCGGAACCAATTCAAAACTGACCCTGTAGCAGGTTTTCAGAGGAAAACCTCACATTGGAGGAGGTTGCTCATCTTTCTCCCTTGAAGTAACTAGTGGATTTGAACTGCTTGTCTTCAGGTTGGCAATGGCTCCCCCTACCACATAGGCCACCTTAAAAATTTTTTATGTGACTCACATTATATTTCCGTTAAATCCAAATCTATAAATTAATTCTGACCCAGGATGACCCTCCATTCACTGTTCAACGCTATAAATCTTTATGGGAAGAGACTACCACAACCTTCTCCTACAGGGCAGCTGGTGGATTTGAACCTCAGACCTTTCAGTTAGCTCCCCACGAAACAGGTCACACAACTAGAAATCTAGTCATTAAAATTTTTTTTTCTATTACCCTGCTTTATGTGCATTGCTCCTGAGTATGGATCTTAACAAAATGTAAATTGAATTGGAAATGAGTGTAGATTTAACATGTCTTTTTATTTTGTCTAGAGTTTGACTGGAGGAGCCAAAGGGGGTGTCCATTGTACAGATGTGACAAATGCAAGTAGGACTATGCTTTTTAACATTCATTCCTTGGAATGGGATAAAGAACTTTGCGAGTAAGTCAGCATGTTTTGCCTTAACTTGTTTTTCCAAATCCATTGCCTTTTTATAATTGAAATGTTGGTGGATCAATAACACTTAATTGTTATTTCAACTGTGATTTCAATCTATATTCTATGTTTTTGTAATAGAAACTTTTTATGACAACTAGTCCAATTCTTTCATTGTCTTCAGGGAAGATTTCCATGTTTTTGCTTTTTGTTGATTTGTGTGAAGTTAGAAGCACACAACTCCATCTGCTTGATTATTTAGCTATTTGTCACTTCATTCTGTACTTAAAAGTTTTCTAATGTTACTCACATTTTTTGGCTTTAGAGCATTTAGAAATTTTCAGGTGTTTACTTGAAAAAGTATTATATGCACCCACTCTTTCTGTTTTTCAGCTTTTTTGAAATCCCGATGACAATTCTTCCAAATGTCCGAAGTTCTTCTGAAATCTATGGCCTAATGGTAAAAATGGAAAAACACTTATCTTTGCTTTGGAAAAAATGTAACCATTCAGAATTCAAAAGTGTTACATTTTCTAGTTTAGGAAATTTGTGGCTTTTCTGTGGATGTTGATAGTATGTGAAAGCCGAATTGTAGTACTGTTTAGTTTTAGAACTGGGAAAAACTAGAGACTACTTTTAACTAAGAGTGGCATGGGAATGCTTGACCCAGTTTATGCTTATCCAAATAACTTTAATAATTGTGATAACATCTTTTCATTTATAGGAGGAACTATTTACATTTTCATTGTATTCTTTTTCCTGTTAACTTTCTTTTAATGACCAAATCATGTTATGTATTAGATATTTTGATAGCTGGTGCAAAACTTTAGCAAAAAAGTTTTTTAAAAACGATTGCTACTTCAGCTAGTTTCTGTAATACGCATGATTGCTATTGGCTTTAGGAACTTGGAAAAACAGTATTTCCATCTAAAAGTGTCCTTAAGCCTTGTTGAGCATCCCTATTGAAATGTAAGGCATGAAAACCTGTGAGGGGATTGAATTGATATATGAGCACAGAAATCTGAAATTCATAATAAAACTTGGGGAATAAATGTAACAACAATTGAGGAAGGCGATCTGGTGGCCTAGCGGCAAGAAGCTGCACTGCAATCCCAGAGGTATGCAGTTTGAATCCACCAGACACTGTGCTGGAGAAGGAGGGGCAATTTCCTCCTGTACCAGTCAGATCCAATTTGACAACACACACACACACACACACACACACACACACACACACACACACGCGAATAAAATTTTAAAACAGTTGGGGGAAAAAAAACCCAAAACATTGTTTAGATATTTCATGGAAAATAATAGACACTTAACTTACAGAGTTGAACACTAAATGCTCTGGTTTGAGCAAAAAGTTTGAGCGAGAATTTTAAAGGCTTCCTATATAAAAGCTTTTTAAGGCAACATGGAATATTTTTAATGGAAACATAGTCAGTACTCTGTTTTGGATCATTTCATAGTTGCCAACCAAGTGACATGGGCCTGGGGAAAAGAGTATTCTTGAGAAATCTTTTCTGCGGATGGTTGAAGAAACATTTAACTGGATTAGTTCTCTTGCATTTAAAATGTTATGCTTCTGTCCCCCTTTTTCCCCCCTGCTGACTATAGAGAATCTCTCATAGCCTGGTGAGTAGGTTGCCCACCAATTATGCTCCCCATTCATTTGGAAAAGATACAGTGCATTTCCATGTATGTTCAGATAGGCTGAAGTTCATTTGCTAAACACATGTAGCTGGAAGTTTGAGCCTCCAATCTATTGACACTAAGTCAGGTTTTAGTGTTGGTGGTGTTTTTAACTTTAATGTTTGTTTTTTACATTTTCTCTAAGACTATTTTTAAACTTATTTATTTTTTTAAAACTTTTTTAAAAAAACCACCTATGGCAGTTCCTGGAATCACAAATTCTGTTTCCCATGACAGAATACAGTTGTATGCTTTGAGCTTTATCATAATAAGGAAATGAGGTGTGGTTTTAAATGTCTTAAGCATTGTAAATGGCAGCTTGACCAACCTTTTAGACCAGGTAGTTGGAAATGCACTGTCACTTTTTCTGCATGCTTCACTGAGGACGCTCCTCCTGTGGTCCCTCCCTGTGAAGAAAAAGGAGCACTTTACATGCCTGATTGCACATAGTAGTAGATCCTTCTAAGAGGCTTGATCCTTTCATTTCAGAAGTATAAGCAAAGACTTTCTTTCTTAGTAGTTAAGTATAACTTAACTCTCTTGGTTTCCTATTAATCTACTTTAAGACCTTTGTAAAGTTTTTAATTACACTTTCCCTTTATCATTCAGGTTTAATATTCAAAGACTATATAGAGTAAATAAAAGGAGCAAGTCTTGAATTAACCAGAAAGAATGATAGAAAGAAAATACCAGATAGATAAATCCAAACCCAAACCCAAACCTCATGCTGTGGAGTCTGTTCTGATCCATGGAGCCCCTCCACTGGCTTCGTAAGGCTGTGGCTTTTCACCCACGAAGCTCATGAGCTCATGATGGATTCAACTTGTAGGTTAGCAGCACATACTGCACTATGCTCCCAGGACTCTGTACCATATCTAGAGTGGTGGCATCTATTTTATAAAGGAACTCCTTAAATCTTGTTTTTCTTCTAGAGTGCTGGCCATATTGAGCAAAACAAATACCACTGTTCTTAACATAAATTAACCCTTGCTTATCTAAATGGGAAGAAGAATTTTTTGCAATGAAAAATCCCCACTCTCTGGAAGGAAACTCTTGTGTTTCCTTCTTGCTTATCTTAGGAGCAGTTTGAGTAGAATTTTTGCAGCCTTCTGAAATAAATAGGCCACATGCTAGCTTGGCAGCCATTCATCATCTGCTCCTTTTAAAGGATATGTTAGGCATTTCTTAATTATGACAGTAGTTAGCGCTAATGGATTCAGCTATCAAGTAGTCCAGTCCCCATTCTATATATCAACTTAGTGACGTATAGAGAGGTATCAGCCTGCTCAGGGACTTCTCACTAAGTAGCTGAACCAGGAGGAAAGTCCAGGCCTCCTCCTGACTCTTAGCCCATCATTTTCATCTTCTTTCTCTAATACCATGTCTCTTCTTTAAACCTGTATGTCTAGCAGCTCTCTCTATACCATTCATGTAGTGAGAAAAACATTTGCTTTGTCTTGTCTGCTCACATGTCAAAGCATGTTGCTATTCGTTCTGATTCATATTGCAGTTAAGTAAGCCAAAAATGTGTAACTGTTCATAATTCTTTTTCTTATTTCATTAGAAAGCTGGGGCCTTGGAAGGTGTGCCTATATCTGGGGTAAGTTAATCATCAGACATTTCCCTATTAGCCTCCACTCCTATCTGCTTTCCTTCTTTATCTTAGCTAATCAACCAGCCCTTTCCTAAACTATAGAGAACAGGTGACAACAGCCAAACTGGCTGATTTTTGTTCTAATGGTATACTCTGAGGGCCACTGAGAATCTTTGAAATAAATTAATACATGACCCCTCTAACTTTGCCTTCTCATACCTAAATGGCCTACTGAGAGTAATGTAAGAAACATAAGCAGTTCATTCTTTGCTAAGTAATAAAGGAAAAGGAAAGCTTAGCTTAGGGCTGTCCTAAAAGGCAATTTATAACATTTTAGTCATTGTTTTTCTTTATTGTTTTATACTTTCAGTGCTTGGGAGACCAGTCTGCTGCATTAGTGGGACAAATGTGCTTTGAGGATGGTCAAGCCAAAAACACGTGAGTTTAAAAAACAAAGTTAAAAACACTTCGCTAACCAGTAACTGACTATTGTATTTTGTTTCCTCTTTAATACTTTTAATGAGGAAAAGCTATTGACGTTTTCCCAGGCCAAAATAAGTACCTTACTCAGATTATATAAATTGGTTACCCTTTTCTCCCTTTACCTTTAAAATAAGATCTATCGTGCCATATGCAAAGATACCATGGAAGCTTGTGAAGGTTTCCTAGTTTCCTAGTCTTGCTGTAACACAAATACCACCAATGAGTGACTGTAAAGAGAAATATATTTCCTCACAGTTCAGGAGACTTCAAAGGGCAGCTCTTGGGGAAGGCACTCTCTGGGTTCTGAGGGAAGAGCTTTGTCTTTTTAGCTTCTGTCGTTCTTGGCTATCCTTGTCTTTCCTCCAGTTTGTCCTTGTCTGTCTAATCGCTGGATTAAAAATGCAGCGCACCACATCACTAGAGCTCCTTTCCACAGGTAGAGAGGTCAGTATCCCACCACGTATTTTGGCAAGATACAATTCGTTCCGTGACAGATACCTTCACTTAATAAAATTCATTACCTTTCGTCTGTCCTTGAAAGGAAGCTTTGGTTTTCAAATCTCAGTGAACTTTTTCTTTTCTCGGAAGGTTAGGGGAGAAGACGTGGCCTGGTCTTAATTACTTATGGCATTTTCAATAGTATTTTTTTTCTGGCACCTTCCATTACCTGAATGCTCTCCTTTGATAAGAAGCAGAGTGGACTTGGGGGGAGGGATTGCACAACAATGAAAGTTTTACTTTTCAAGGAGAAGAATGAATTTTGGGGTGGGGATTGGGCAGGGAGAAAAGTGCAACAATGAATGAATGAATGGAAACCCAAAGAATGATAGAAATGTTCACTCCCCTCTCCGAAAAGAAAAAGAAAAAAAATGATAGAAATGGAGATCGACTACATTTTTCTCCTAATTTCATGTTCCAACTACTCACATGCAGAGCCTGTTACAAACCTATCTGAAAGCAATAAAATCACTCCCACAGCTGCTGAGAAAGGTTAAGTGGTTTTGCTAAAATCATAGCATTGATGCAAATCGGAGCCAGATGGCAAATCCACTCTGCTGACTATATCTCAAGCTCTTTCTACTGGACCATTAACTACACTTATTAGAAGGTAGTTTTTTCAACATTAAAAAATAATGCCACCTCATTACATGTACTGATGAGTGGAAACACATATACTTTAAAAAGTGGAAATGGTTATAACTCCAGTTAAGTGTTGTAGACACATGATCTCATTTAATTCTTATAACTATACTAATAGCCCCATATTATAAGTGAGGAAACAGAATTCAAGCACCTTATTTATTAACACCAGAGCTAGAAAGCAGGAGAAGCAGTATTTGCACCCAGATCCATCTCCTTTCCCAGCCAGCGTTCTTAGCCTCTGTGTCCCCTGGAAACCCAATGGAGGGTCAGCTCTAGGTCAATTCCAACTCAAGGGCAATGGTTTTTGTGTGAGCAGGAAGCTGTCTGCATTTAATTGTTCCTTGCTTGAGAATTTCCTTATTCTCCCATCAATTTAACTTTAGCAGTTCTTTTGTGAGTAGTGGAATCCTGACGTAATTAGATTACATGGTCTTGTTTAGCAGGGTCAGCAGTCATCATGCAAGAGTGTGACATTTTTGGGGAAAGAAGTGAGACAGGTTTTTGGGAAAGAAGCGAGGAAAATTCTTTTCAGGTCATGGTAACCTGAGGTTTCGATCAATAAAGTTTAATTCACCATGTATTTAGAAACACATTGCTTTCAACTTTATCAGATATCTCTGATTGCCATCAAGTCGGAATCGACTCCTGCATGACCACTGGGTTTCAGAGGCCATAAGATGTATGGGAGGAAATTACCTGTCTTGTCTCTGAGGAGACCAGAAAGGCACCACCTAGTAATATTTGACAAGTGTTTTTACAAACTTCAGACTTACCTACAAACTATCGTTAGGAGTCTACTCCCCGTAGAAGTCTATTATGTTCTGTGTATAAATATTAGCTTTTTATAATAGTTGCCTTATGCCGTAATAGGCCTTCTGTGATGCTTTTTTGTTATTCAACATCATTTCCTCTTTCATCCATGCTGTGCAGTGAGATGACCACCAGGGATGGTAAAAGGAGAGGAATAAAAATTAATGAATAGATAAGTTAGTGAAGGGAATGGCACTATACAATAAGGGGTTGATCAGAAACTATAATTACAATGAATGATAGTTAATGTTATGAAACAATGATTGAATGAAAAACCAATGTGATATGTAAACTTAAACGCAAATAAAAATTTAATCTAGAAACCCTATTACATTAAAAATCTGAGGTTCATAATAACAAATGAGCACAGCTTTGAGATGCACAGCAAAACATTATCATTACTGTAGTATGTTTAAGACGTGTTAGAATATCTGTTTTTTACTTTTCTTTTATACTTAGAAAGGCACAACATGTACTAAGACAAAATATTTGACTGACAATGAACACAAACCTACATGGCTGTTCTGAGCTAGATACAAATAAAGATAGGTTTAGGACCAGAGCTCATCCATAACACAGGGACTGCACATTAATCCTGTGCTTCCTATTTCCCTCTGACCCATACTGCTATCAGTCTGGGCTGCTTATCTGTCCAGCACAAGTTAAAACTACTCATTAATGTCAAAGTGCCAGACTGAGTCCAAAGCTTACACTGATAAGGCTGCCACAAAATAAACTCAGTCCTTTCACGTCAGCAGATTGCATTTTGGCTTTGCAGGGAGCATTTCTTTTTCCTTCTTTCAGCCACTCCTATGCCCCTGCTCCACTTTCCCAGCCTCCTGGACCAGAAAGTAATACTTCTTTTAGTTTATGATTGCAAAACTGATAGACCTAAACTAGGCATTTCCCTTGGTAAATAGCTGTTAGCCATGGTGTTTCACCCCCAGATTGATTATTAGTAGTAATGCAACTGTGAAATACTCCAGGGGTGGTTTACAAACACAGCCCTGGGCTGTGACTGAGTGCATGTTAAATACTGTACCTGCATTTCCCCCCCCTCTTTAAAATGACACTAAGTCTGTTTTCTTCTATGTTGATCTTTATTATTCCATAAAGAGTATACAGTGCTTTGTTAACTTTTAGAACTTTTCTATAACTTTGCCTTAATGGCTATTATTAAATGTCAACTTGGATGATTTATTATTAATGTTTTGGAATTTTCTTTAATAAAATTGTCATACTGTTCCTTATTTCTCCCCCACCCCACCCCAACTATAGGTATGGCACGGGCTGTTTCTTACTGTGTAATACCGGACATAAGGTTGGTTTGTTTTGTTGCTTTTAATGAAAAGATTATTAAACATTTTTTAATTTCATCTACGTAGTACTTAAGCCTAATTTAAGCATTTATTTAATCTCACTTAGTAAAACAGATAATTAGAATCAACTTGACAGCAACTAACAACAGGCTTGACCTTTTAACTAAATAAAAGCCATACATTTGAACTCAACGAAAGCCATACATTTGAATTGCCTGCTTAAGAATCATTTCAAGTGCTTTGAATTTTCTGTTTTTAATTGCACTCATGGGAAATCTAGACTGGGACTTGTTAGACTAGTCTTGATGCAACTCTAATTTAGAAGACAGTTGAGTGTAGTTTTTTTAAAAAAATATTCTCATACCATCTTTTCCAAACTGCTTAAGTTTCTTTCTGTTTTGTACAGTGTATATTTTCTGAGCACGGCCTTCTGACCACGGTGGCTTATAAACTAGGCAGAGACAAGCCGGCAAATTACGCCTTGGAAGTAAGTTCCTTTAAATTGATGTGCATAATCTGGCAAACATTCAGGGCTAATGAAAATTATAGTTTTTTCCTAACAAAGTGTTTCTTGGACTGAACAGGAAGTCAGTTCTTAGCTCAGGTATTTGTGTGTATTGCTTGACTACTCTGCAAGATGATGTGTCCTATCTTTAAAGCTTAATGAAAGAATTGATTCAATCAAGAACATTCCTTTCATTTTGGAAAATTCTGGATTCTTATAACTAAAATAGTGTTTCAAAGATAAGCCATTTATCTCTCCATAAAAATAAATTTTGTGTTAACATTTTGATGTAAGAAACAAGATGAAATTTTGCCATTTAACACTCAGAGCACTAGTTTTATGTGTTTGAAAATTATAACCAGAATATGTATGTTATTGTTATGAGCTGTCGAGTCACTTGCGACCCTATGTACAAGAGCCCTAAACCCTGTTCTATCCTGTACCAACCTCACTGTCTCTGACACAACTATTACCCCAATCATCGAATCGATCCATCTTATCGAGGGTCTTCCTCTCTTGTGCTGTCCCTTCACCCTCCCAAACATGATGTCCCTCTCCAAGGACCTGTCTCTCCTTGCAACATGTTCAAAGTATGTCAGATGAAGCTTCAGAATCCTTGCCTCCAAGGAGCAGCCTGGCTTCACCCTCTCCTTTGCAAACAGCAAACCTGTGTTCTCCTAGCAGTCCATGGTATATTCAACACTCTTCTCCAGCACCACAGCTCAGAGGCATCAATTCTTCTGTCATCCTTAGTCATTGTCCAGCTCTCTGATGCATTGCACGCAATTGCGAAGACAATGGCCTGGATCAGGCGCACCTTAGTCTCCAGCCTGACGTCATTGCTCTTCAGTACTCTGAAGAGAGTTCCCTGACAGCTGACTTGCCCAATGCATTTTGTCTTTTAATTTCCTGGCTGCTGGTACTGAAGCTGCGCTGTCAACTTGAAGGCATGTGGTTCGAATTCACGAGCCACTCCATGAAAGGAAGGTGGGCAGTCTCCTCTGCAAACCTGCTACAGAGCCAGCTATTGGTCAGTTCCAACTGAGTGATACATAACAGCACAACAGACATAATAATAAAGAGTAAATTATCTCTTTTTCTCATACAGGAGACAATCGGGAGATTTAGAGATGTGTGAGAATTGGGAAACATCTCATGTATAGGAGTCACCCGATCTTCATTTACCTCTCCACATGAAAAGCATTCTTTTGTATGCTCTACTGATAACCTTCTGACTTCTATCAGAGTAGCTCCAAAAACTGAGCTTTCAAATATGAGACAGCAGCTGTCATTTTTTTCCCTGTCTTTCTACTCCAGAGTAAGTTTTCTTAATTTCCCAATGGCACATTTTCTAGTTGTGTGCTCTGTTAATTAAATGCTTCCAGAAAGTAATATAATAATCTACCTATGATTCCTGGGTGGTACTAATGTCTAACACTCAACTAGTAACCATAAATAAGGCTAGCTGTTTGAATCTACCTAATAGATAGAACAGGTACCATAGAAGGAGCTATGGCAATCTACTACATTAAAATCACGGCCATTGAAATTATCTTGGAGCAGAGTTCTGCTCTGAAATTGTGAGGTCACTATGGGCAAGAAATGACTTGACTATGATTTTTTCTTTTGGAGGTACACGTGATCTGATCCATATCTGACAGTGTTTTATTGCTCATTATACATATGACCTCTCCTGCTGTAACCTGAGAGTTCACTAATTGAGTCTCATAATCCCCTCATGCCACTAGTTTGCAAAGCATGAGTCAAAGCATTAGTCTCCCACTAATTTTTTCCAGCGAAATGTTGTCAAACCAAACCCTTCCTGCTCTTCATTTGCATAGATTGTGTTGTTTTCATCTAAATTCAGGTCTTTACTCTTCCTGTTCATTTCATGAAACTAGTTTCAGCCTTTCCCAATGCACTCAGTTCACCTTTTACTCTGTTACTCTTCCAATTTTGTCTCATCTGGAGGCTTAGTAAGCACTTACGTTTTATAACTTTGTGTCAATTCATATATGTTGGATTTTTCTCTTAGACCACTAGAACACATAAAGAGGGAGATTAAATCATGATATCATATGTAACTACACCCTCAAATTCCTTTGTCTGTGATTTGGAAAGTGAAGTAGAAATCACTCTTGACCTCTAAAAAGTTGTCATACATACATGCCTAATTGTACATTCCTTTCAAACAGCTGTTCCCCCTCATTTGTTCTAGTGCAGTGTTCCTTATCTGTCCATGATTTTTCTAATCTCCTTTGAATTGCCTTTCATTTATGTCTCCTTTGCTAATTTTGAAGCACTAATTTTTTTAATTTAAAAAAGAATTCTTCTGGTGCTTACCTTTTTTAAGAGAATATTTTCTAGAGCAATTTTAAATTTACAGAAAAACTACTCAGGAATATAGAGTATTCCCATATCCCACCATACTTTCCCACCACAGTTACTTCTGTTACTAATACCTTGTATTAATGGGGTACAATGGCTACAGTTGAACCAATACTGATGCCTTGTAATAAACAAAAGTCTGCAGTTGATGTTACTGTTCACGCTTTGTGTTGTATAATTCTATAGGATTTGGCAAATTTGGCATTGTTGCGTAGCCACCATTATAATAACAAGCAGAATAATTTTGTTTCCACTGTCCCCCTCTGTGGATTCTACTTACCTATCCCTCACTCTTACTCCTTAAAACGAAAGGAGTAATTCATTTCTTATATATATACACAATAATTAATACTCTGCAAGCAATGGTAAATTATATTTGCTGGCTTATCAGTTTCTATGTCCATTGTCATTTATTTGGACTACACCTTTTACCATGTCCTATACTCCATCCCCCTTTTTGTTAATACTTGAGAAACATCCTGTCATTTCTTTTAATATCTTGGACCATGAGCCAGGTTTTTTATGGCTTTTTTTGTTTTGTCCTCTAGGGCAAAGGAAAGTCCTCCTTTAATAATTTTGTTTTGATATCCCTTCTGGACATTTTTACTCTCATAAGGTTTTGCTATCAAGGTCAATACAGTTCCTTTCTAGATAATCTGGTTCACTGTCTGGGAGTTTAGAACATGATCTCCTTATCACTGATGTTCTGTAGTTTTACTGTGATTTCTGCCCCCCCCCCAATCCCAGCCCCCAGGATTAGATTTTTTCTTTATCTTCTTAGGTACTTGGTGTATGTCTTCATTTCTCAGCAATTGTCTAGTCAAATGTTCTTTCTCCTCTACCATTACTTCCATTCTCTTCTGAAATTGCCGTTAGAGTAATACTGGATGCTCTCATTTTCCATGTCTTTTAACTTCTTTCATATATTTTTAAATCTTTGTTTTCTGTGCTATATCCAAATGGGTTTTTCAATCTCTAGCCTTTTTTGTTTTAAAAAAAAGACTTTTTATTATTATTTGAACATTTACAAAGCATATTGGTTTTTCATTAAACATCAATACATTTTCCCCCCACTCATTCATTATTGCATTTTTCTCCCTATCCAGCTCTCCACCCCAATTCGCTTTTCTCTTTGAAAAGTAAAAGAAAGTCTTTCATTGTTATACAATTCCTACTCCCAAGTGCACTCCACTATGCAGCCTTCATTCTGGACTCCTGGCATGATAATAATACTTAATCATATATCCCTTTTAAACAGTTCTCTCCCTCATCTGTTTCAATGCAGTATACATTATTTGTCCACTCTTATTTGTCTTTATTTGTCTCCCTGCAATCCCAATGTTAGTCCTGTTTTACAACAGTGGCACTATGCAGTATTTGTCCTTTTGTGACTGAGATATTTCGCTCAGCATAATGTCCTCCAGGGTCATCCATTTTGGATAATATTTCATGAGTTCTTTGTTTTTTACTGCAGCATAGTATTCCATTGTATGAATATACCAGAGCTGCTTTATCCATTCATTTGTTGATGAAACCATAAGTGCCACCCAAGCAGAATATACACACCCATGTTCATTGACAGTTTTGTTCACAGTAGCAAAGAGTTGGAAACAAATAAGTGGAAATTATGCGTGGAAGAAATGAATAAATTCTTTTTTTTCACACAAGAGACAACATACAGAGACAAAACAGGACAGGATGGAACTGGACCAGCCTGGGCAGCTGTGCTGTCTTTATTTATACCTTTTAGAAACAAATAGATGATTCACAGGGAAATAGAAACTTTAAGGGTTACTTCATAGAGCCCAGGCAGGCCAGGTATGAGTAGAAACATTAAGATTACCATAGGGCCCGGATGGGCTGGGTACATAGTTAGATACATTCAACCAAGACTTCTTTGTATTCATGAACTGTGCTTTCTCTCATCTTGCAACAACCTTATCAAGAGCAGGAATAATAATGAAAGTCAGTGTCTCTTTTAGAGGTATGAGAACTGCTTGCAGTCTTCCTTCTCAGAGCGCCTTGTGAGATCTTGCAATCTTCTTTCTGAAGACACCTTCTGTGTGCGAGGCACACAGCCATATGCTAAGGATGCAGTCCTTTACATTCTTTGGTCCTCTACAATATACCCAGCAGTGGGTCAAATGGTATCTCTGTTTGCAACTTTTTGAGAAAGCTTTCCATGGTGGTTGCACCATTTTACACTCCCATCAATAGTGAATAAGGGTTCCAGTTTCTCCACAACCTCAGCAGCATTTGTCGCTTGCTGCTCTGTTTCTATTCTGACTGGGGTGAGATTATATCTCATAGTTGGTTTTTTTTTTTGCATCTCTGAGTCTAACTCCCATTTCTCAATTTCCTTTTAAGCAATACAAAACAAAAATAGCATCATACAGTATAAATTCTCATTTGCGTCCTCAATGTTTCTTTTTAAAGATAGATTATTTTCCAGCTATAAGTTTGTTTAGTGCACTTAAAAAACAATCTTTTTACTCTGATTTGAGTGAGAGAAAGTTGGTTTCCATTCAACCATTCATACGCATTTTGTGATTCTAATTTCCTTTCATCCTTCCATCTTACCCCTTCCTGCCTTCTAATCTCAATTCTCGGACACTGCTCTTTGGATACTATATAATTGGTTGTAAAAACTGAGCATCACCTTATAGAAAATTCTGTAGGCTTGCCTGTTTGTGCCACAGGGTGTGTTCAGTTCCAGTTTCAAAGGGTGCCTGAAAACCATAGTCTTGGAGATCCACACAATCTCTCAGATTGGTAAATCTGACCATTTTTATGATTTTGAGTGGTTTCCCTCCCACACAGTTTTCTCCCAGCCTACCCAGGACCCTCTAATATGATCACTTTTTGAGGGGTTAGCAGAAGTAGCCAGGCAGACGCCAGCTAGTTCTAGTCTCAGGTTACAGATGGTGAGGTTTATGATATTTCTTAATGACATGCACTAATTGTTTCTGCATCTTTGACTTTCTTCACTCTTTTTTGCTCCAAACATGAAGGGACCAATCGTTAGCGGATTTCTTAATAAATTTCTTCACTTTTCACTTCCTGATAGGGACCTGATAATCTATTACCTTCTGTGCTCCCTGTATTGGGAGGAAACCAGTGGTCACCAGTCTTTCTTATCCACCAAGCTAGAGCTTCATTTTCCATAAAGCTGTAGGTTTAGTCAGCAAAAATTTCCAGCATCCCTATGCAAGTGGGCGAAGTTCAAGCATTGAATCTGATTCTGTAATTTGTCTTTCACAGGCATTTCTTAAACATGGTTTTTCTTAAGAATGTATACAGCAGAACAACATCAATTCAACAGTTGATTGTAGTCTTTGAGTTGTACAGTCCTTCTCACATAGCTGAGCCTCCTAGGGCTTTTCAGAGTCTATAAATCACACGGTGGGAGATCACTCATCTTTGCCCTGTGGAGTCGCAAGTAGATTCAAACTGCTAGATAGGTACTGTCTTTGAGTTAGCAACATAACTCCCAAAAGACAAGCCACCAGAGCTCCCTAGAAGGGAATGAGACACCCCCCCCCCACCTCTGCCAGTTATGTTTAGGACAGTGCTGTTTAATATGGTAGCTAATAATCACATGTGGTATTGAGTATTTGGAATGTGGAGAGTTCAAATTTGGAAGTGTAGAGTATACACCAGGTCTTTTGCATAAAGTTCTACCAAGTATTTTAAATATAATTATACAGTAATTATAAAGTAATTATACATTAGTTTTAAATATATTGTATTAGATAAAAGATTCAAATAAAATTTACCTGCTTTTTACTTTCTGTATGTTGAAAAGAAACATTTTAATTTTATATATGACTCATATTTTATATAAGGCTCATTATGTGTCTAAGATATTAAAGAAAATATTACATATGTACTAGTATTTGGTTGCTACCTTCCTATCTTTTCCTGAAAGAAATCTATGAATAAAATATTTTAAGTCTCTTTAAACAAAAGAGTCACTTAAAAGATGAAATATCAGCCAGGTTATGTCTGTTAGATTCAGCTGGATGAGTGGCTTCTCCTAAATTGTTTCGCTTCAAAGCAAAGACTTTCCTAAATTGTCTCACTAAACATAGCAAAGTTAGGAAGGATTTCACTTTTTCCCCTCCAAGAGTCCTGAAAAACTTTTATTAGTGACCCAGGTAAAAGTATTTTTGTATTAGAGGAACGAGTTTATCGTATTTGTAGAAGTCCTAAAGTTGAAATTGTTTGAATTCTATCCATTTGGTAGTGTCACACAAATTCAGAGTAACTCTATGTCCTACCTCAATTCTTTTTGTTTCCTTAGGGCTCTGTAGCTATAGCTGGTGCTGTTATTCGCTGGTTGAGAGACAATCTTGGAATTATAAAAACCTCAGAGGAAATTGGTAAGCGTGTTCTAACAAAGGGTTAGAAAATTTGAATAATGAAACCTTTTCTGTTTTACCTCTGCGATCTGTAAACACATGTTCTGTGCCCCATATGTGACATTCAATTATATGAATCCCTTTTATGAGTTTGACGTCTACATAAAAGACTGTTTAATGAGGAACAACAAACAGACATAATTAGCGATGGTTGTTCAGAAACTGGCAGGGCTGAACACAAAAATTACCCAAGTGTAAAATTGAACCCCAAAGATTGCCAGGATCTACAAGTAAGGTAGTCCAGCTACTTTTTAAGTTTCCTGATGAGAAATAGCGTCTACTTCTAGATTAAAGTGAGCATTAACATTTTAGTGCCTGTAATTTAAATAGTATTTCCTGTGGGAGAAAAACAGGCAACCTCCTCCTGCACAATTTTTTGCCTCTGAAAAACCACTGGCAGGTCAGCCATGAGTTGGTTCTGCCTCGAAAGTACATAACAGCAACAATATGGCTATATTCTGTCTGTTAGATAATAGTTTTGAACTCATGTACCCCTTCTTTGTCTACTTGCTTTTCTTTGCTGGAAGGTGGGACAGTCAGAAATAATATTTCAATGGCGGTGACTAAAATATGTTCAGGACACTAAGCCAGTTTCTTTATTTCTTGAACTGGATTACATTATAGTAGGAGTATTCAGTGTGGGGAAACTTGTTTTTGTTGCTTTCTAGAATACTTTTATGATTAGGACCATTTTGTTATGACCAAGAGTGGGAAACTAAAAGTATTGTCTTAATTCAATAAGGAAGTGTATTTTGTGGAATAAAGTAAGTAGGATATAAGTATTTTTTTTCTTTTCCTTCTTAATATTAGAGAAACTTGCCAGAGAAGTTGGCACTTCTTATGGCTGCTACTTCGTCCCAGCATTTTCAGGGTTATATGCACCTTATTGGGAGCCCAGTGCAAGAGGGTAAGTACTGATATTGTGTCCTTGTTTGGATCTCTGTGTCTTCACTAAATCTTAATATGTGTACAAAGTTATTTTCAGATGACTTTAATGTGTTGAGGAAATATTTTTCTTTGTGAAATATGGTTTCAGAACCTGTAGACTCCAAGTTATTAATCAAAAGACAATAACCCCCCTGCCTTATCCCTATACATGTTAGTGTTGTTCTCTTTTGATCTTCAAGATATCTGTAAGTTGTGTAGCAAAGGGACGTGAATGAATTCTGATTTAGTTCTATTCAAATGTATCATGCACTCTTTCCATATGTGGCTATAAGATGATGGACTAGAAAGATTTTACCAGTTAACATTTATAATTTTCTTTCTCCGTTTCTGTCCACTTTTCCATTTTATCTTTTCCATTTATCTCTATTTGGGACATTTTAGGTTGCCAATTCATTTATTGCATTCTCATAGTCAAATTTTTGTGTTTTTAGGATAATCTGTGGTCTGACTCAGTTCACCAATAAATGTCATATTGCTTTTGCTGCATTAGAAGCTGTTTGTTTCCAAACCCGTGAGGTAATAAATGAGTCTTTTGTTTCATTTACTCTCTCCTAAGCAAAATATATAGTATTCTTGAAATGTATTTGAATATTCAATAAAAGATGACTAATGTTGTTTATACATCGCGTAGGAACTGACCCATAGCTGACCTTCCAGTGGGTTTTTAGAGGCAGTTAATCGCACAGGAGGAGATTGCCCATCCTTCTTTCTCCAGCTGCCATTTTCTTCTAAATTCCTGTTACATGCCAAGCACTGGGTACTTACAGTTGGGGGTTGCAAAGAGCAAAGAGCTTAGAGATGGGAAACAAGGCTGCAAAAATAGATTTGTTGGATTCGGTTGAGTACAGGAGTGAGAGGAAAGGCTGGTTGTAACCAGATGAAAGAGGGCTTGGAAGACCTGAATGGGAAGTCCAAGTTGATCCTGCACACTTTGGAAAGCTATTGAAGGCATTTGAGCAGAAGATCGCCATGTTCAGAGGTGTTGGTGTAAAGTAGTTTAATTATGTAATCGCCTTTGGTTTATTTAAGATTTTGGATGCCATGAACCGTGACTGTGGAATTCCACTCAGGCATTTGCAGGTCGATGGAGGAATGACCAACAACAAGATTCTTATGCAGCTACAAGCTGACATTCTGTATATTCCAGTAGGTTAGTAAGCATGCATTCTTTGAAACCCTGAGTACTGTTTCTTTCAGAACAACTTCTTTTTAAGCATATGTAAATGCAGAGATATTGATGTAGCTCTCTCCCATCAGTGAAGCCCTCGATGCCCGAGACAACTGCACTTGGAGCTGCCATGGCAGCGGGGGCTGCGGAAGGTGTTGGTGTGTGGAGTCTAGAACCTGAGGATTTGTCAGCAGTCACGGTGGAGCGGTTTGAACCACAAATCAATGCTGAAGGTACATGTAACGAATGGCTCTTGCAATGACATACACTGCCTAACATCTCTTTGTACTTCTAACTTACTATATGCCTGTCATCCCATAAGGTTATAATATACTCTTTTTTGGTTAAATCATTTGTTTTATTTAAAAACCATAGGGTTGTGCTTCTGTATAAAGTCTGTACATCTAGCAATGTAAAATACTGACACATTAAACCAAAACAAAAATTAAAAACTCAGAATCTTTGATTCAACGCTCTAGTCTTTCCAAAGAGAAAATAAATAATGTCAGAGTCAGAATTTTGGAGCAGTTGGCGTGCCTCTCTTCATATTACTTTTTGACTGGCTGCCTGAGCGCCGACGATGATGGAGCTGAGCTGTTTGTGCCGCCGCCGCTGCCATAGCCATTGGATGCTGCAAGAATCACAACTGCAGCTGCCTGGGACTGCATGAAGCCCCCTACTCCACTAAGTTTGATAACAGCAGCTTGCCGAGCAGATAAGGCCTGTTCTTGACTTGCTGAACCTTGCTCAGGACCCTGCTCCCCTGGCTGTAGCTGCGCGTGACTGGAAGCGGTGAACTGCTGAGGTGACTGCGGAGTGAACGGAGAGAGATGCTGCTGCTGCAGAGGGTTAAAGATGAGTGAGCCGCTGGAGAGCTGGAGTCGATTTAATGGCCTGAGACTTGACGTACTTTTTAAACCAAATGGAACACCTGCTTGCGAAGTTGGCAGAGCACCTGGCAGTGCACTGGGCAGCAGACCTCCTGAGGGAAGAAGGCCACTCAGATTTCCTGCCCCACTACATTGATGAAGTTAAGGCCAGCGGAATTTGCCATGACTTGGGTAGCGGAGGTTCCTAGAGTTACAGATGATTGCCTGGCTCATGTATCTTGAGAGTCATAGAAAACATCTGTTACTGGCTCCCATATGTACTATGTAAGGGTGTATATTTTTACTTAGGCAGAAACATCCAGTCACGTGTATGACGTATCTCTTGAGCATTGTAGTAGCTTTACCACTTTAATAATCTGACTGCTGGTACCAAGGGTGTTGATCATGAGCCCAAGTAAGATGAATTTGTTGACATTTTCAGTCTTTTTTCCATCTGTTATGATATTGCCCATCAGTCCAGTGGTGAGAATTCTTGTTCTCTTGACACTGAGATACAATTCATATTGAAGTCTTGGCTCTTCTGCAGCAAGGACTTCAAGTCCTCACTTTCAGCAAGCAAGATTGTGTCACCTTTATTACATAGATCATTGGTGGCTCTTCCTCCAATCTTGATGCCACAATTCTTCCTGTAGTCCAGCTTCTTGAATGTTTTGCTCAACATTCAGAACAAATATAAGCCAACTCAAGTGAGGTTACCAAGCTGACTGAAGACAGAAATTGCTTATCATTATAATTACCCTTGACTCAGAAACCTGGGATGCAGGGATTTGCAGGTGCTAGCCTCGCCTGGAGGTTAGCTGAAGTAGTCCCATGTGTTCAGCAAGTAGCCATCTTGAGCAGGGCCACAAGAACTCCGGGACCACTCAAAGGCAGATAATACCTCTTCTTATGAGGCACCTGCTTGGGTGTCCTTACATGCTGTGAGATAGCACTGCCAGTAATCATTCTCATGCTAATTCATCCAGAACTCCAGTGACCTTGTCATGGATTGCAAAACTGGCCTGAAAGCCATAAATATCTGTTGAACTCTAGGAGAGCTAGTCTCTTCATTCCTAGTAGTAAATCTGAAGAGCTGAATGTTGGTTTCCAGTCAATAAAAGTCTCTTTAGTAGTTATCTCCTGGAAGTAAACAAGAAAGAAGTATTACTGTGAAGTGCATCATGGCTCCCCAGTGCAGCCAAACCCAGTGCTTGTGATAGAAGCAGGTCAAGGAGAAGTTTCTATGTGGATGTGAGACAAACAGTCTACGTGAACAAAACAATATATAGGAACTTTTTAAAAAACAACATATGAAGGTGGAAAATGAGCAATCACCATGGCCCTCAAAAACAAAGAAATTTTCCTCCTTCATGGATTCTTCCGGGTAACATGCCCAAAGAACGTGAGATGAAGTCTTGGCATCCTCCCTTCTCAGGAGCATTCTGGCCACATTGCTTCTATGACAGATCGTTTGTTCTTCTGGCATTCCATAGCATAGTCAGTAGTCTTCACCATAATTAAGTCGTCTTCCAGAAGAGGTATTTTACAGCATTTCAAAAAGATCAATTGGTTTCTTGACTGGTTTCTTTCATGAGCACTGTAAGTTTAGATCCTTTAGATCCTTAGAAAACTATCTTTTCTCCATTTGTTTTCAAAGGATTTATCAGTTGCCAATTCCTCTTGTCTACACCAACCTTTAGTGTCACTGGCCCCCTTTAGGGCATGATTGGCTGTATTAAGCGACACTCTCACAGCCAGTAGGTTAGCCTGACAAGAGAGCAACAATTTAATTATGTGGGAATTAAATACGATTCACTGTTCCAGTAAAGCTAAGCTAAGCCATAAGCTCTGATTGGTACCCTTTATTAAAATATAGTGATACATTCCTTAGATTGAAATAAATGTGAGCAGAAAATAGGATTGTACATATTAAATTTGATTTTATAACTTTCTAGAAACGTAGGCATAAAATAGCATCAAAGTGGATTTTGAGCTACTGGGAAATAAGCTTTTCAAATGCATTTTTAATTTTCTGGAAGACTGTGCCAGGGAGTCTTAGTTTTATTCATTCTTTTCCATGTACAAGAAAATGAATTTTATTACTAGTATTTGATTATCACATAGTGTATCATGCATGCCTAATAATTATTAACTTTAGTAATATACTTCTGGAAAAGAAACTTTTTAATAAATAATATTTAGAGTTAAACTTAGTCTTTAACTCTTTGCCTAAAACTTGCTTTAAGTTAACTATTTTCTAAAGATAACCATCACTACCAACACTGTTATCAGTTATATTGATTGTCTTTCCCCTTCTCCAGCTCTCTAGCTCCCCATCTCCTCACAACACACATGCACACAGAAACATATGCAAAATGGGCACGTTGATTGTTGTTAGGTGTCGTCGAGTATGACTCATGGCGACCCCATGAACAAAAGATCTGAACCCTGTTCTATCCTGCACCATCCTCACTCTTCCTGACAAGAGCCCACTGCAACAGCCACTGTGTCAGTCCACCTGGCGGAAGCTCTTCCTCTCCTTCGACAAACCTCCACCCTTCCCAGCATCATGTTCTTATCCAAGAAATAGCCCCTCCTAGCAACATACCCAAAGTAGGTGAGGAGAAGCCTCATCCTTCTTGCTTCCAAAGAGCACTCTAGCTGCATCCTCTCTGAGACATACCTGTTTGTTCTTTCGGCGTCCATGGGATGTTTAGTGCTCTTCTCCAACACAACACCTCAAAGGCACCAATAATTCTTCTGTCATCCTTCTTCATTGGCCAGCTGTCAGATGCATAGCAAGTGATTGGAAAGGCTATGGCCTGAATCAGATGTACCTTAGTCCTCAAACTGATATCATTACTCCTCAGTAGTTTGGAGAGGTCCCTAACTGCAGATTTTCCCAGGGGAAGTAGATTGTTGTTGTTGATTGCCTTCGAGTCGAGTACGACTCACAGCGATCCTATGAACAAAAGGCCTGAAGCCCCTCTACAATTATCAACATTTATCAAAGTTCACAGAGTTTCTGGAGGCATGTTGTTTAGGTAGTGGATGCCAATGCCACTAGAGATGTTAATGCTTCAAGCAAACATTTGGTTGGTTTTGTTATGTGCCCTCAAGTCACCAACTCGTAGCCGACCTTCCAAATTTTCAGAGGCAGGAAATCAAATGGGAGATTTCCCATCTTTCTCCTATGGAGCCACTGTGGGATTCAAACCATGTGCCTTTGTGCTTGCAGTGCAATTTCTTACCACTAGACCACCAGCCTCTTAAAAGCCAGAAATGAGTAAGACCAAGTCTTTGCCCCTTAAGAGTCTCAAGTATATTGGGAGAGGTAGATAGAACCATAAAAATCCCACATGGTAGTAGTAGTTATCTGAAGGTAGGTGGGGAAATGGAGAAAGGCTGGAATTGGTGAAAGCTTTCATGAGGGAGTGGTACTTGAGCCTCCTCTCCTGGGTGTTGCAGGTGTTGGTGAGCAGGGTTTGTGGCAAGGCTGGAGCTTGAGCGAAGGGAGACCACATAGCCTGGGATAAAGAATACAGCACATGCTTGAGACGCCAGATCGAGGGCCTAGTGGGTGGAGAGTTGCACAGCCAATCCAAAGGCACGTGGTGCAGTCCACCCACTGCTTTGCAGAAGGAAGATACAGCCTCCTCCTGTGTGGTTTATGTCCTCTGAAAACCTCTGGAGGGTCAGCTATGATGGCAATGGGAGTAAGTGAGCGATTCAGGTTTCCCCATGAGAGAAATCATTGTGCTTTAAGTTTTGAGGAATGAAGAGAATTACAGAGGAATGTCACTTGTGAGATCTGTTGAGGACTCAACATTAACGAAAGCCTCTGAGTGAGCCAAAACCAATTCTCCCTTTCATCTTTCCATACTACAAAATCTTCCACTCACCTTAAACTCTCCTGCTAACCACTCCCTGTTCCCAAGAAAAGAGAACGATTCCCTCTTGTTCTTAATTGTGATTGGCTGCCAGTCTTTATAAATGGGATTGCTCTTCCTAACATGTCTCTGAAGTTGCCCTTCACCCTGCAGAGCCGTACTGACCTCTCCTCACATATTTTACCTCACTGAGCTCGCTGCTTTCCCAGACACCAGCAGAGACTTTCTCAAATCTGAACCTTGGGAAAGCCCAAATGCAGCTTAACATGTGCAAGAATTAGAAAGGAATGCTGAGTAAGCATAAATATGGGTTCTGGAACATTTTAGTAAACTTTCCATGTGGATTTTGTTTTTTCTTCTAATTCCAGAAAGCGAAATTCGTTATTCTACTTGGAAAAAAGCTGTGACGAAATCAATGGGTTGGGCTACAACTCAGCCTACCCAAAGTGGTAAGGATGTTTTCTTGTTATTGTTATTTTTTTTCTTAGTATGAGAGATGCTAGTATGAAATAGTTTAATGTCTTACCATTGACACTTAGCCAGGGGTATATCTTAGCTGCTTTGAAGAAAAGCGTTCTCCTTTCTTACATTTTGAAAGCACTTTAAGTCTAAGTCTAAAATGTAAATGATCAGATTGCTATGAATACTACCCTGCCATATATTTCCTTATGAGTTTATTATTGGTACTGTAATTGATAACACAAAATTTTTTATGCTTTCTTTTTAATGGTAAAAAAATCAACTGGATGATTATTTTTTTTCCTCAAATGTCTTGATCTACCTTTTTGGGAGGCTGCCTTTATGATGTGATTCAAACTCAAAAGCTCTATTAAGTTCAGAATATATTTCACTTCTTTTTAAATTGATTCCAAATGCTTAGCAACTTTACATAAATAAAAATTCCTTTGGAGTCAGAGAGGAAGGAATACACTAAAGAGTAAATGAGAAGGTTCAAAAGAGATTGAAAATACTCTTTTTTAAATAGCCAAAGCTCTTTATTGCAGATCTGGGAGGACTGAGAGAATCTTCTCAAAAACTGCCTCTGCATCCAAGAGTGGATTTTATACTTGAGTTTTACATATGAGTTTTACATAGTTTACATATGACTGGAAAAGACATCTTCAAAGAGATAAATAAATCAATTACATATAACTTGAGAAAAATATCTTCAAAGAGATACATGCTAATTCGATTACTTGTAAAAAAAAACGTGTTCAAACAGGTGAATGCTAAGTCAATTATATGTAACTGTGAAAAACATCTTCAAAGAGATATGTGCTAATCCAGAAAAGAATTATTTACAGCTGAGTAAAACAGTTTCAAAGAGTTGAATAGTAATCCGGGGAAGATGCATTAACTTTCCTGGTAAACAGATTAAAATACTTTACATGACTAAAGAAAAATAGACTTTTAGGGCAAACAACCGGTTTGCTCATTTATTTGGCCAGTTGCTGAAAAGGAGTAAGAAGATGAAAGCCATGAAAAACAATGTATAGGAACTTAGTAAGTAAACTAGTATAAAAAATGTATTTTAAATTTAAAAAGAAAAAAAAGATGAGGGCCCTGACCCATGAAAAACAATGTATAGGAACTTAGTAAAGTAAACTAGTATTTTTAAAAAATGCATTTTAAATTAAAAGGAAAAAAGACGAGGGCCCAGACTTTTTTCCCCTAATAACCATTACTTAATAGCTTATAAGAAGCTGAGTTCTAGAATTTGACTAGATGGATTTTTTAGATGTACCTTGCTCCAATTAACATTACCATGCTACTCACTATAAAAAAGCCCAGGGGCAGACTACAGAAGATACTAGGGTCACCTGTGGTCATCCAAGTAGAAGGGAATTATGTGTCTCTCTTTTGGTTTGCTTGGCTGGAATTCCCTTCTACTAGATGGAACTTTTTCTCCTTCCTCCTACCCTAATATTCTCAGTCACACACAGGAGCTCTATATACTAGCAGTTTTAAAAAAAATTTTTAAAAAATTTTAGTGTGAGTTTGTGTGTGTGTGTGTGTGATGGGTGTGTGTATGTGTAGGTGTACTATCAAATCAGATCTGACTGGTACAGGAGAAGATTGTTCCTCCTGCTCCAGCAGAGCATCTGGTGGATTCGAACCACATACCTCTGGGATTGCAGTGCAGCTTCTTACCACTAGGCCACCAGAGCTCACCAGAAGATAAAACTTTTTAATTGCCAGATTCCCACAAAACCAATTGCTCATCTTCTCTGTGTAGTATACTGTCAGTGAATTTAACATTCCCAAGAAAAGATGAGAAAAGAAAGCAATAATTTTTTTCTTCCCCTAGTTCCTTCTCAGCATTGATGATAAAAGCCATTTGATTCGGTTTGTAGAGCTTTACAAATTTTGTTTTTGTTTCAGTTAGACAGCAATGTCTTTAACCCAAAATTTGAAAATAGTTTTTGGCATTTATGAAAAGAAATTTATAATTTTAGTATCTGGAGAGTAAACTATGTAATGAACTCAGAATAAAACAATATCCAACCAACAAAATTATGATAGTCCTTGAAAGGCTATATGATAATTGCAGTACAGATAGAATCCTATTTTAATAAACTTGAAAGAATGTTAGAATTGCTACCTGTCATCTTACTGTCTTACTAATTACTTTAGTTTAGTCTGTGGGGGAAATGGTGTGTTTGGTTAATTTCCAATGCAGTTTTCCAATTTTGAGGCTATACTAGATTTATTTTCTGGTTTTGAATGTGCATGGAAAACTATTTTCAAGTTCTCTAATAATGTTTATAACAGCTTATGATAAATGATGACTTCCTGGCTTTCGACTCAAAACCCACCAAAAGAACCTTTTAAAACAGAACAAATTAGGGGAGCTCTGGTGGCCTAGTGGCAAGGAGCTGCAACTACAATCCCAGAGGCACACGGTTTGAATCCACCAGATGCTCTGCCGGGAAAAGGAGGGACAATCTACTCCTGTACCAGTCAGATCTGATTTCACGGTACACTCACACAAAAATAAAAATAAAATCAAACAAAAAAACAGAACAAATTGGTTTAAAAAGTACAAATATCAGATAACAAGCATTTTATAGATATATCTTAGCAAAAGGAAAATATCCCCATTAAATAGCACCTACATTAACAAGTACTTGTGAACACACTCCTTGTCCACCCACCCTCTCAAACTAGAACTCGACTGTAAACCACATCAGGAAACCAGTTAGTCTGTGAGGTTCTTTTTAATTTATTTTAATTTAATAAAGTTCCTTTATTAAAAAATTCTTGTTTCCACAAATACACAAACAAAAGAAACCTTGTTTTATTTGAGAATTCACATGTAGTGAGGGAAGAGCTTTCTGTCCCTCTTTAATGAAAATATCCCTGATAAGAGATACAGAACTCCTCACCCAGAAAAGCAAAGAACAGAATGCTATCCGTTTGTCACATCCCAACATATGCCCACAAGGATTCCATAACAAGTGAAACCCCTTTGCCTACTGGTTCGATTTCTTTCCCCCAATTCTTAGACTTAACTTTTGAATAAGATTAAGAAGGTAAATGATTCTAGGTAAATGAAAAGGAAATGAAAAAGGTAAATGAAATGAAGGTAAATGAAAAAAATGAACTTTTTTTCTTTTAAAGGATTCTGAGATAATTCAGGTTAGAAAGTATCAACTATTGACAGGTACATTTCCTCAGAAACCAAATTCAGTCTTAAAAAAGGGAAATGGAAATTTTCGCAAAAATAAGGTAGACTAATATATAACTCTTCTCTGATAGCCAAAGGATCAGTGATGGGAACTTGGGGGAATCGATTTTCTCATTTCAAATCATTTGGGGAAGAATCAAGAAAGCACAAATCACAGCCTCCCAGAAAGTTCTCCATGGGCTCTCTTTGGCTTTGCCAGTGGAAGGCTTATGTTGGTCTACATGTATTATGATGTTCTTGGCTCCTTGTGGCATGCTATCTGTACTGTTAACTGTCATAAGTCTTCAATATTGATTTTAATTTTTTAATTAAAAGTAACTCTTTGGCTAGCTCTTATGAAAATATTATTTTTTTGTAACTTATCTTGTTTTTCTATCATGTGATTCTTAACACCATTATTGTAATTATGTGTCTCTCTTTTGGTTTGCTTGGCTGGAACTCCCTTCTACTTGGATGACCACAGGTGACCCTAGTATCTTCTGTAGTCTGCCCCTGGGCTTTTTTATAGTGAGTAGCATGGTAATGTTAATTGGAGCAAGGTACATCTCAGGTTAGTTACTCTTTAAATTAGCCAATTTTTTAATGTATTTGTGTCTAACTCAGCAGAAACGTTTTTGGTGTTTTTTTTTCATTCTCTTTTATAGTTAAAGAACCTGGAAAATCCATTAAAAGTCTAATTAGCTGGACCAACTAATATCCAAGGGCAGTCAGAAAAGACTGACTGCTTAATATTTTTTTAAGTAGATATTTTCTTAGAGGTAATACATTTCTTTTGTCAGCTGTAGAAATGAGCAAAACTGAAAGTGCTAATATGAATACTTACATGAAAGAACTTTCCAAGTGACTGATGAACATTAAAGTCTCATATTTTGGCATTTGTTAAGTTGGCTTTCACTTGTACATACACACATTCAATTCTTCATACTCTTGAAAATGTGCTAAGAAAGTCTTACTATTTCAATTCCAGTAAGAGTTTCGACCCCAGAGGATGTCAGCAAAGGTCTTCTAAAACTAAAAATGGGGACCCTTTTTTGCTTTCATTTATTTTGGCTAAAAGAATACATTTTGTGGTCAAAATTAATGCTTAAATAAATTAAGGTTGACATGAAAACCAAATTACTGGTTTTGCACATTAACTTCTACTGACAAATGTTATTATGCAAGTAAAATTGTTCATCATGGTATCACATGCATTGTATAGCATTCTATTTCAATGTTAATTGAAATAGAATAATTATTTGTGAAAGGTGTCCCTAATGATAGCTCAATTTTTCTTCAAATTAATGACTTAAATGGAAATGACTCTCTTGTGCCATGGTTTCCAAGAAAGTGACACTTTTATTTTTCTTTTTAAGTCTTCAGGAGTAGAGAGAGTTTAATTATTTCTCTTAATTATGTGATGACCTGGGTTAAAATGTAAAATTGAAACTGTATTGATGCAGAAGGGAACATCTGTTTGTAGAATTCAGTCAAGCATTAATTCAGCTTGGCATCATCCATTTAGTTCTGTATTTACATATGGAATGGAATGACAAGTTTATTAGCAGAACATTTAGTTCCCTTTTAATGGGAAAATTTGTATTACTTGCTTGAAAAAGATTACCTTTGTCCTTACTCTGTCTACTCAAGACTATTCAGGATAAATTTGGCCAAAGCTGCTTCTGTAATAGTAATACTTTTACAGTGATATCAGTGCTTTACCCCTTAAGGAAAGCTTCTGTAGACGCAAAACTATACAGAAATAATAGCAGAATTACTATTTAATGGCTAATATAAGTAACAATTCTCTTTCTACTTCTTGCAAGTGTTTTGTGGCTAAGCTCAAACATTGCCAGAAGAGCTGTAATTGAGATTAATAAAGAAACCTATATACTGTATTGGAAAAAGTTTCATTCTTTTACCCCATTATCTTGAATAGTCTTGGCTGCATAATAGTCTGAGAAAGAAAAGGAAAAGATGCTGTTACTGGATTGATTTTTTTTACCCACTATTTGCCCTCTGCTACCATGATAACATGAGGAAGCCTTGTTGTTTAATGCCGTCGAGTCGTAGATGACTCATAGCGACCCTATGAACGAACAGCCTGAGCACTGTTTGTACATAGTTTCCGGAGGCAAGCCATTTTGGAAGTGGATGCCTAGTCTGCATAAAAATGGACACATGTATCATCTCACCAAGCTAAGGGATATGTTAATTGTCCAAATTCCTAGGCTTCTGAAATGGATATGGTCACCATTTTTAGGTGCTGCCCTTGATAGTTTCGGCTGAAATCTGGTAAACAGCAACCCTGACAATATTTGCTCTCTTTGGAATCAACTCAGTTCTATTTGTTTTGTTTTAATTGGGAGGAAAGATTTACAATCATATGGGATATCTAGGTCAATATGAATACTTTTCATTGCTGAATTACATGTATATGTTATTGAAATCTATGATTTTTGTCCCCCATTTTAGGTAGCCCATAAATTGTACCAGCTCATGGATTCCCAAGATGTGAACTTTTTCTGTAATGAAAGAACTCTACAGTTTTGTTTCTTAATGTGATGACACTACTCATAGACTGTAATGTTATTTATAAGCCACTTTCTGCATGATCTTCCAAGTTGACCGGTATATAATAAAGCAGAAAGAATATTTTAAAAATATTTGTTTTTTTGTAACTCAACATTTTAGTCTGGGCTGACCCCTTTCCTTCTATTGCCACAATATTCTGTCTCAATTCTAAGATCTGGTAAGAATTCAAATCCTGTTCACAGAATTTTTCAAACATGTGTTTCAAATATATTCAGACACTGATGAATTGGGATCTGAATCTTTGCACTGCATCCACTTGGTTTAAAAGTCATTAGTAACCTAAAATTAGGGGACTTTTAAAAAAAACAGATCTTAAGTGGACAGACCACTATGTATATAAATATTTTAGAGGAAAGTTGTATACATTTTGGGGCAACGGTTATACATATTTACCAGAAGAAACTTTTTCTTAAAGAGCCAGCATTTAAAGTATATGTTCTATGCCAACTAAAGAAAATGTACTTTATTGTGAATTGAACTATATATTTATCCCTTACCTTTTTATTTAATTGTCTTATCTGGATGTATGTTGAAAAAGACTGTAGTACACATTGTTTTCAAACACAAGCTCTGGTCCAAATAAAGTACTTTTTTTCTCTCTTCACCCTTGCCATGTTTGGATTCTTTGGGTTGGGTGAGCATAAGGATATATGAAAAGGAAGAAAACATTGACAAAACAATATCTTTTAGTTAAAAATGTTATCAATGACTTAGCTTCATGTCATCTTACAATTAAGAACGCTTTGCCATTAGAAATATCTTCTAGTAGAGCCAAGAACTTCTCAAAATAGTATTACTGTATTATAAGAATTCACCTATTCCAGTTTCACATCAATTTTTAAAGTACCTTAAAATTAAGTAAACATTGTCTCCTAATTATTTCTAGTGCAGAAAATGGGAAAATTGGCTTTTTAAAAAAATTAAATGGTAGCTTCTATTTGTGGTTTTGGTTGTGTGGTTTATAAGATTCCATTTTCTGGTGTTTTTTTTAATGAAGCTGATACCTAAGCAATATGAATATGATTGAAAGACACTATGAAATTATAATTAGATAATTAAATTAAAATAGAGATGAGGTACTTTTAAGCCTAGTTACAACAGTGGTTAATAGTAAATAATTGAAAATCAGTATTCAAATATTTTGAGGCTTGGATTCCTTTTTCTACAAATTGTACGATTTAGAAATGGTTTAAAATTGTCCATGTTGATATTTAATGACAAACTGGCTTAAAAACTAATCAGCTCCTTATTCTTACTTGCATTTTTCACTTACAGACTAGAATCTAGGCCAAAATTTAATTGAGAAAAGTATATCAGCTAATGGGAATTCAGCTGTTAGCACCCCACTAGGCATGTTCTGAAGAATCAGCCAGCCACTAAAAAAAGTAGCTTCTAGAAATAATGGGCATCTTAATCACTCTATTAGAAGAGCAGTCATTCAACATTTCCAGGAAGTACCTCTGCTGATGTAGTAAGGTCTCACATCCTACAGGATTCCCACAATGCTCTCAGGCTGGGGTCATCAGTGGACTTGTCTGCCATCATTCTCACTACTTGGTATGCCTCAATTTTTGGTTTTCCAGTAAATCAGTGAAATAAATAGTACATCTTTGCTTCTGGAATGTGGCCTTAGAAATTTTTTTTAGTTTCTTTTTTTTCTTCAGTGAAAGTAATAATTTTCAGAATTGGTTGGTTTTGTGCTGTTTTGGGTGGAACTTATTTTGGCACGTATAAGTAAGATATTAACAATAGCAATCTGATGGCTTCTATAAGTAATTAATATGTAAATGCACAAGAATGGTCTGTTTCCAAGATTTTCATTATCAGATATGAATCTTGGACCTACAAAGCCGTTTACTAGCATTAATCACTGTTCATGCCTTTAGTCTCTTACCTTAGGATTTCCTTTTCTTAATATTTTTATTGTTATGCCTTGTTTTACAGGGTCTTTCATTTATATTATAAATCATTTATATTGTGAAGGTTCCCCCCCTTAACTCATATCTTTTTATTATTTTATTTTTATTTATACAAGTTTATTTATGAAATTTGAATACATTGGCTTCCAGACTAGATTCTTCCAATTTCCCTCACCCCTCCCCGAATTGTATAAACCCCATGTTTAACACACATCCACACATCCTCATCCCTCACTTCTACTCTCTACCCTTGGATCCTCATAGTTATTGTGCAATAATAATTAATATTTTTATCATTCATATACACAGCCTTTCATTTACATTTTATTGTGTTCATTTATATTGTGGAGTTTCCCCCCTTACAGTTCTCGTCCTTTAATACCAAGCTTCCTAACATTTTAACCCCGTTAAAGAAACGGGGTTATCTCTAATAAGATCACAGATGGAAGTGCAGGCCTAATAAAGACGATCTTATAAAGAATTTTTAAAAAGATGGCAAACACATGAAATGTTCAAAATCCCTACCTCTAAGAGAGATGCAAATCAAAATAACTATCATCTCACCCCAGTCAAAATAGCAAAATTTAACAGAACAGCAAGCAACAAATGCTGGCAAGGTTGTGGAGAAACTGGAACCCTGATTCACTGTTGGTGGGAGTGTAAAATGGTGCAACCACTGTGGAAGGCAGTATGGCGCTTTCTCAAAGTTGTAAATAGAGATACCATTTGACCCAGCAATTCCACTACTGGGAATATACCCTAAAGAGACCATAACTGACATCCAAACAGATATATACACACACATGTTCATTGTGGCTTTGTTCACAATAGCAAGGAGTTGGAAACAACCTAATTGCCCATCAACAAATGAATGGATAGAGAAGCTGTGGTATATTCGCACAATGGAATACTACACTGCATTGAAAAACCAGGAAGCCATGTAATATTATTCAAAATGGGTGACCCTGGAGGACATTATGCTGCGTGAAGTATCTTAGTCACAAAAGGACAAATATTGCATAGTGCCACTGTTGTAAAACAGGACTGACAGGGTTGGGGGGAGACTGAGAAAGATGGGACAAATAATGTATACTGCATTGAAACAGATGAGGGAGAAAACTGCTTAAAAGGGATATAGGATTAGATATTGTTATGACAGGAGTCCAGAACAAAGGTAGCATAGTGGAGTGGACTTGGAGGGAGGGATTGAATAATTAAATAAGAATTTTTTCCTTTTAAAAAAGAAAAGCGAATTGGCAGGAGGGGTGGGCAGGGGGGAAAGTGCAACAATGAATGAGGGGTGGGCAGGGGGGAAAGTGCAACAATGAATGAATGGAAATCCAAAGTCTAAACTTTCATTAAAATAAAAATTTGCAAGCAACTATAAAATCTATATTTTCAAATTTAGGTTGTTTATTTTTCATTTCAATGAACATCTACAGAGATTTTGGAATTCCATTCATTCATTGTTGCACCCTTCTCCCCGCACAAGTGTTTCCCCCTCCCCCCGCCCCGTTTGCGCCTCTCCTTGAAAAGCAAAAGAAAAACTCCCTCATTGGTACACAACCCCCCCCCCGCACCTCCCCAAACCCCACCCCCTACCCCCAAATATAATCACTGCAACCCTCATTGCGTACTCCTACGATAAACATAATGCCCTAAAATATAATACTTATGACCTCATTCCTTGTTCCCCAAATCGAGCAACATTATATTAAGGTCACATAGTCAACAGTAGGAAATAGAGTAACTTTTTTTAGAGCCAATTTATGGCTATGTTACCGCTATATATTTTTTTTAGGTCTCCATCTTCTGACAGTACAAATAAATATAAGTTTGCCAAATGTCACAGATGTCCTCTTCCATATTCCCAACATTTCTCTATCATCATTGACTTTAATGAAAAGGACTCTTATTTCATTTCAACGGGAGGCTATAGAAGCAGAAGGTGGGTCAAACTAAGTTTCTCAACTAGGCCAGTATGTTTCATTTGCTGTTTTTCTTCCCATTTGCTAGAACTAGTCCTAACTGAGAGAGCTCTGGAACCTTAGATTTCACCGCTAACGCAAAGGATGTGCTTTTCCAGCGGTTCGAATCTCCCTGCAGCTGCACGAGAGAAAGGCAGTCTCCTCCCGTGGACTGTGTACCATTTTGGACCCTGGTTGACGGAAGGATGACAGGAGTCGGAACCGACAGGGCAGCAATGAGCTTTTTTGAGTTCTGCCTGTGATTGATAAACTGTTGTCTTTTAAAAGGCAGCCTCAGGTATTTTGAGATTTTTCCTGTTTAGTATGAAAGTAAACCTATTAGGGAGCTCTGGTGGCATAATCCTTACAGAGTTGTGCTGCTCTGGCAGTTCAAATTTCCTGGCCCCAGACACTGCAGAAAGATAGACTATCTCCTGTACAATTTACAGGCCTCGGTGGAGGGCCAGCTAGGAGTTGAAACTAGCTTGACAGCAATGAGAGGAAGGTTTTAGTCCTCATTCGTAGAACTGATGCTTGTCTCATTGGTGGTTTGCTAATTGTTTGGTCTACAAGCAGGCTACCCAAATATTTCAGTTGTAACCAAAATATTTTACAAAATGGGACTGAGTCAATAATGATGTTGTTTACCGTTGAGTTGGAATCTAGCTGACCCTCCGGCTAGTTTTCATAGGCAGTAAATCACAAGGAAGGAGATTGTCCCTCCAGCTCCCACAGAGAAGTTGGTGGATTCGAACCGTGTGCCTTTGGGATTGCAGCACAGCTGCACTACCACTAGGCCACCACACAATAGTGCAGCTTTGGAAAGCAATGAGGACACTAAACATTTAGAAACATCTCCAGATTACTTAAAAATTAATAAAAAGCAGAGTGCAAAGCAATATTTGTCTTACTTTTTTCTTCTTCTTTTAAAGAAGATAAGGATATTTGCCTATGCCAGGAAGACATAAACGATAGCTACTCTGCCAGTTCATCTCACCAAGGGTCTCCTTCACCTCACTGGCCCTTCATGTCACCAAACGTGAAAGTTTTCAGCCGTTGACCCTTCTTGTTGGTCTTCTAAAGCAAGCAAGTTGGACAGTGGTGGTCCATAGAGATTTCGTTGTCTTATTTTTAGACCTAGATTGCCATCCCTTTCCTCCTAGTCCCCCTGAATCTGAAAGCGC